TCAAATCCCGAGATTAATTTTAAAGAGCAGAAAAAATCCCGTGATTTTTTTAAATAAAATGTTATTTACTTTTACACAATTTAAACTACTGCACGCACGACGTTGCCAAACTTACATCAATGACATCGGATGTCCAAAGTTGCAAAATACCAATTTGTATTGTAAATTAATGTAAACTAATAAAAATTTTATGTTAATTATCTTTGTTTTATTTGTCTATCTCTGACGTTGTTATTATAATTTAGTTGTAAGATTGTTGGCCACACGGGATTGTCCATTAGAAATCCCGGGAAGGTCCACATTAATATCAACATTTCGATGCAAGTACATAAATAACTCTACCTAATTCCGACCTCTGGTAATAACAAATAACGTGACTTATTTTATCTGTATTTTAGGGTTTTCACTACTGATTAAAAGAAATACCTATTAACCGTATCGACAGATAAGTTATCAAACTCATGTTTTTCGTTATCTTTCCGGGCGTATTTTGTCCATAGTTTTATCCTGAGTTTTTTCAGTCAGGGAGTAAAAAGTATCTTAGACTACAAAAATAAAAATTTTTGTTACCCAAATAACCTCATTCATAGTAATTTTGAACCGTCTGATATTTTCAGTAGTGATGATATTTATTTACTTTTTATAAATACTCTTTGAAACTTGCTTACCTATTTACTATGAAGTCACATGGTGGCCAAATGAAATCTAAGTTAAGTCTAATATTTATATAGACTTCAACAAAGATGATATTGTATTAGTAAGAGGCTGTTTTTCAGCAACTTAATTCATCATCATCATTTCAACCGAGAGACGCCCACTGCTGAATATAGGCCTCCCCCAAAGATCTCCAATGTGATCGGTCCTGCTCCTCCCGCATCCTGCGGCATCTCGCGACCTGCCAACCTGCGTCTTCCAGTACGTGGTCGCCACTCCAGGACCTTGCCGCCCAAACGGCCGTCAGTCCTGCGAGCGTCGTGCCCTGCCCACTGCCACTTGAGGTTCGCAATTCTTTGGGTTATGTCGGTGAGTTTCGTTTTTCTGCGGATCTCATCATTTCTGATTCGGTCTCGCAAAGAAATCCCGAGCATAGCCATTTCCATTATCCTCTGAGCGACCTTGAGCTTCCTTATGAGGCCCATCGTAAGCGGCCACGTCTCAATTCCGTATGTCATCACTGGCAACACGCATGAATTGAAGACTTTCGACTTGAGACACTGCGGTAGATGTTCCGAGAATACACTGCGTAGCTTCCCGAAGTTGGAATGCCCAGCCGAGTTGGATCCGTCGATTTACCTCTCTCTGGAAGTTTGACTAAGGCAAACGTACTCGTCGACAGGCTCCAGTGTAGAACCTCCAACATTCACTGGAGTAGGTACGACATGAGAGTTTGACATTATTTTCGTCTTCTCCATGTTCATTTTAAGACCCACTTGTTGGGAAACTCTACAGAGGTCTTCGAGCATTGTGCCTAGATCTTCCATGGTCTCAGCCATGACTACGATATCATCAGCAAAACGAAGGTGCGTCATGTACTCGCCGTTTATATTGATGCCATGTCCTCTCCAGTCCAAAAGCTTAAACACATCCTCCAGTGTGGCAGTGAACTGTTTCAGCGATATAACATCGCACTCTCTCACTCCATGCCGAAGTCGTATTGCTTTCGAGTTTTGGTCCTGGAGCCGAACCGACATGGTGGCTTTTCATACAGTGACTGCAACAATTGGATGTATCGATAGTCTATTTGGCTCCTCTGGAGTGACCTAAGCACGGTCCAGGTCTTGACGGAGACAAAAGCCTTTCTCATACTCCACAAACGCCAAGCAGAGTAGCAGATTATACTTCTCGGTCTTCTGTATAATTTGACGCAGCGTATGAAAGTGGTTTATGGTACTGTAACCTTTTCGGAAACCAGCTTGTTTGGGAGGCTGGAAGTGGTCAAATCTACGTGCAAGACAACTCGTGATAACTCTCGAAAACAACTTGTACACAAGACTCAGCGTCTTGCCCTCGAGTATGGCGGAGTTAAATAGGTTCTGAAGCGCTTTCCGGACTGGTAGTCCACCCGCTTTCAGAAGCTCCGCTGTGACTCCATCACACCCCGGCGCCTTGTTGTTCTTGAGCTGTTTGAGAGCCACACTAATTTCGTTTTAACTGACGTCCGGAATGACTTCGGTATAATGTCGAGTTAATTTGGCTCTAGGGTCTGTAGCCTCAATGACAGATTTCTTTGATGTTGCGTATAACTGTCCATAGAAGCCTTCGATCTCCGCCACAAGTCGATCTCCGCCACAAGCTCAGGACTTGATGTAACGACTCTGCCGTCCTCTGTCTTCAGCTTCGTCAGCAAGCTCTGACCGAGAGACAGATTTCTAGCGAACACTTTGGAGCCTTTATTCCGCTAAATCGCCTCCTTAATACATTGAGTATTAAATTGCCGTATGTCGCGTGTGAGAAACTTCGAGATCTGTCTGATAAGTTTCCGACGAGCATTTTCAGAAGACTGCAGAATCATTCCACGCCTTTCTTCCATTAGGTTGCTTGTCTACTCCGAGATCTTGCTTCTTTTTTGAGTATGGCGAGGTTTGAGAAATTTTGAACCCACCGTAAGGACAGCTTCTACGACCTTTGAATTGTATTCGTCCACATCCGAGCAGTTCTACAGGCAATCGAAGCGATTTTGAAGCTCGAGCTAAAAGTGTTCGGGGTCCTGGATCTTCAGGTGGCTTCAGGACGGAGCGTAGACTTTACCAGTCGATACCGTTCGGCTTTTACGTTAAGATTCAATGCGCCTCTTACTATACGGTGATCGCTTCCCGTATTAAACGAATTGATCTCCTAGACGTTATTGAATATCCGCGTCTTAGTCGAAATGATGAAGTCAATCTCGGTTTTTGTCACCCCATCCGGACTCTTCCAGGTCCACTTTCGATGCAGCTGGTTTTCTAAGAAGAAATTCATCATATGGAGTCCCTCCCTCTTCATGAAGTCGGCTAGCCACATGCCTTCATGAAGTCGGCTAGCCTCCCTCTTCATGAATTTGACCACGGTGATTCCGGATCCCAGATCCAAATTGCCCCACTTTAAACTCCTCATCGCCACGCTTGCCTAGCCTTGCGTTGAAGTCTCCCATGATAACTGTGTAATGGGTCGTGGAACCTGTAGTGCCCGTGAAATGTCCTCATACATAGCTTCCGCTTCCTCGTCGGGGTGCGTCGAGGTCGGGGCGTAAACCTGTATGACCTTCAGCGAATATCGTTCGGTGATTCTGAGGATAAGGTACGCCACCCTATTCGATACACTTCCGATCTGTACAATATTCAAACGAGAGACTTGTACGATAAACCCGACACCACCTTGAGACAGATCTTCGCTCTCCCGGAAATAGAGCAGGTTGCCGGATTTAAGGATCATCGTGTCCTCGCCCTCTCTTCGGACTTCTGATAATCCTATAATACTCCAACGAACCCTGCCCAATTCCTTTTCTAGTTCCAGCAGCTTCTCCTCGGTCCGCAGTGTGCGTGCGTTATAGGTTGCCAGGGCCAAAGTTGCTTGGCGGGGATCTTTGTCCCCCGGGCGACAAAGATCCCCCGCCAAGCAAACAAACAAATCTTTCATCTTTATATTATTAGACAAGTTTTTTACCAATGTTAAAAGTAACCATATACATAATAGGACATATTTTTTTCTAGAAATAATAATATTTATTTTCCAATATTACGTTAATTTATGATTTACTAATCTCTGTATTAGCCCAAGCCTGACCTGTGGGAAACACTAGACTGGAATTTGCATTATAATATTTGATAAGGTATTTTTGAAAATTAAATAAAAGAAAAAAAAAATAACGTAACTACGAATTGCTGAACGAAGAGGTCATGGTACTTTTAAGTAAAGTAAGAATAAATAATAAAAAGTAAAGTAACATGTTCATTTGCACTATTGGTGTAACCATTGTTGTTAAATTCGCTAATTTGGATTGCAGCGATTCACTCATCCGCGAGTTAATACAAGCTAACCCAAATGGAGGTCATGAGTCCGTGCCAATGACCGTCTAATATTGGTACAGAAAATTGATATGTGTATATTATTTATTACAATTACTCTTGAAGTAAAAGCTTCAACTAAAACTTTGAAGGATAGAGTTGAGGGAGATATCATAGTTATTTTTTTGGATCCTATTTGAAGGTGTTGGTATTTTGAATGGGAATTATATTTAATTGGTAATTTAGTACGCCACACACGGGTTTAGATTAGATGTCTTACTTATACCTGATACGCGGCTAAAATACTACCGCGGACTAAATATAATTCAAGTTCTAATAAATAAAAATATCCCTGTATGTTGTTTGCTTGTAGCTGTAGCATAATAATTATAAATGTATCTTTCTTTAAATGGTGTCGCCATCTTTCCCGTCCCAAGATTATATACGAAATCGTCTTTACCTTCGATGTTTCAGATTTGTTTAATGCAACGACCACACCTAATTGTATTGGGATTTGAGCATTGTATGTTATATTACCTTTAAACATTTTTATTTTGTTTGTGTTTGTTAGTTTGTTAGTTAGGAACAGTTTGTATGGTGAAATAAAATGATTGTTTTTGCTAATTTCCACACAATATTTTTATTTCTCATAAAAACCTTCCTCGGATTTCAATTAAACAAAAAGACTCCAGATTAATTTACAACAGGAAAGAGCTTAGAAACACGTTTAGCGACTTATTAACAAAGCAGTTGTCTTATTTCAGATTAACAAATACATTTAATTTATTAAAGTAAAAATATGGGTCATTTTTTTAGATAATTTCACTATCTTAATTGATAACGATTGACATAATTATGGACTAAAATTTTTAATACTAAAGAGGTGTCAAAAGTAATCACAAGATAGAGTCTAACAAGTTAATAAAATATGCATTATTTTATTTTACATTTGTTTTACCGTGCTTAATGTGGTTTAATGTATAACTTCACTTTAATTTTATGTTATATTGGTTTCAGAGCGAGGAGAATGCAAGCCACCACGTATGGACGACACATTTCTGTTACGCTTCCTGCGAGCGAGACGATCCATACCTGCGCGTGCGCACCGGCTGGTAGGCAGAATATTGTTATCTCACTTCTTAGTTCTTTTTACTAATGTTATAGAAGCGAATGTTTGTTGGTTTGGGTGTTTCTTACTTCTTAACGCTAAAACTACTGAACGGATTTTAATGATAATATTTGGTATATGGATATTTCTAACACAAAATTAACATATAGACTATTTTTTATCCCACCAAATGGTTTTTCAGGGATAGAAGTAGTATTAAGACATCATGTAAACCATGCGGGCGAAGTTTCTGCCGAAAATGTTAGATTTTAAACTAAAAGACTTTTTGTTTATCATTATAGAAACTATTAAAAAAATAATCATAAAGTAATAGTTTTAAAAGCTGCTAATTTAATTGCACTCTGTGTTTAATCAAATGTTGGAAGTCATAGACATACTTTTCATTCACGTGCTCTATTATCTAAATGCTTATATACAAGTAGAATTTCTATATTGTTTTAAACTTTCATGGTCATTTACATTAGAATGATAGTTTTTCGCGGGATTACTACCATGCATATACCTCATTAAAAACAAGGTACACCGTAGCAATCCCGCGGCAATTATAATTCTAGTTAATTATATTTATTATTGAAAAATATTGAATGTATTGTGAATGTAAAATGTATATAAATGCATAAGCATGTATTGACTTCTTATATTTTCACGCGCAGTATCCCTATGGCATACTTAAGAATAAGGCATAGCTTAACTAGCAATCGCATAATTTTACGAATCGCCTGAGCAGATAAGTTTTATTCCAAATAAAGAGTTTTTCTTTTATCCCTTCACACATTTGTGACCTGTCATATTACGCAAATAGATAGCGCAAGGTAACGCATAATACATTTCATAACTTCATACATTACTTAATGTCGTTAGGTGGTTCCTAGTCATTTGTGATATACATTTTCACCTAAGGCGACAGATTTTGTTTAGTAAAATCGGACATTAAACGGTTTTGTCCCGTTTGTATTTTTCTTTTATTGTCGTTTCGGACCCTTTACAGGTTTCGTGTTCGCATAAGACTAAGGTGTTGATTTTCTTTCAAATTAAGAGTATTCAAAACAATACTATTGGACATATTAGCAATACAAAAAAAACTATTTTATAGAAACTTTTACATTTATTAAATTTTTATTAAAATTTTTAAAATTATTTGAGGGTAGCTATACTCTTATTAATAGACACTAAACACATAACACGAAAGTTGTTTGCACCGATGTCTTATGTGAAAACGGAACCTGTAAAGACTCCGAAACATCAATATAAGAAATATACAAACGCGATGAAACCGTTTAAAAGTTGTTTAATTTCTGCATAGGCATGCATTAAAAAGGTAAATCTTTTTTATACTTTAGAAACAAAAAAGGAAATTTAAAGTCTTATAGAATATAGAACATTTTTTTTTTTTTTTCTTTGCCTCAAACTTCTTCAGTATTATAGAATAAATACATATGTACGTAGTATTTTTCCAATAAAATGATGGTGTGTCTAATATTTTTTATAGAATAAGTGTAAATATCGAGAACGAGGAGTTAACTAAGTATGTCATTAAAACTGTATTTTTTCTCTTAACAACATTAACCGTTATTTTAGTGTCTAGAATGATTAGACAGATACCTACTTTACATATACCAAACATAGCTATACCTAGCTTTATTTGTTTCCTTTCTTTTTCCAGCGTTGACCACAATCAGAAATTATTCTAAAATAAGCCCACGTATCATTGTTCAATTTATCATGTTATCATACTAATATTATGAAGCTGAAGAGTTTGTTTGTTTGTTTGAACGCGCTAATCTCAGGAACTACTGATTCGAATTGAAAAATTCTTTTTGTATTGAATAGACCATTTATCGAGGAAGACTTTAGGCTATTTAACATCACGCTGCAACTATTAGGAGTGAAGAAATAATGGAAATCGTGGACGAAGTCGCTGGCGGCCACTAGTAGATTAATATAAGTGAATGAAGAATGAGGGTAAAATATTAAAGTATAAAGTTTAAGAGTACGCGCCATTATCTAGTACGCGAAAAATAGCCATTTCAATTACTTTTGTACAAAGAAATAATATCCAAACAAGTAATTAAAAATGAGGAAACCATATCGTATTTGTTTTTTCAGAGTTTAATAAATATAATCATATAGCTTATGTGTGACCCAAAATATACAGGTTCTTTTTTCACACCTTATTACTGATAGAAAACAATATTTCTTTTTTTATATATATTTCATAAAACAATTTTTTTGTTACCGTTGCATGTTCTTAACGTTTTATAGCTCGAATAAAAATTACAGCTTTTCCCTTAACATTACCTCATTACCTTATTTTACAATCAAGTGACTTTGCCTTTTGCCAACTGTAGGCGGTAATCAACATCTATGCCAAAAATGTTTAAAGAGCTTTCAGCCACTTGCACAACATCCATTAAATGTGTCATTCGTTTAAAGTAGCATTAAACATATAAATTTGAGCTTCATTAGATGTATAAGGCGTCATTAAGCCTTAATGTACCTTTGTGCAAGGGACCGTTAGTCTATAAAATGTAATAGTTCGAAGAGATGACTTCTGTATTCACACACACTAGCATATCAGATTACTATAAAGGATCTGCAATCAATTTTGCACTTAGTTATGAAGGAGCGGAGGTTTAAATTCTATTGATAAAATTTAGTCTTTGGCAAAAACAATATTAATGCTTTACTTGCATTTCAAAAATCTATGTATTGTTCCAGTTAGTTCGTTACTGCAACTTCAGGGAACAGAATCCACACCTGTGGCGTGACGTGGACTGGTTCAGTCTCACGCGTCTCGAGTCAGTGTTTGAGGGTGTTCTGTTCGACAGGCCGGATGTTGGCAGACTCATCATATGTAGACTTGGTGAGTTATAACGCGATTACCCTTTGTCATTCACTCAAGCAGGAATTAAGTGTCTTGATGATTTGGTTCCAGCTTCTCGGCTCTCACCAGGAAAGAAAACTGTAGGGTTATTGTAACTGTAGTGGTGTCCATATAAACACTAAAGTTTCTAAGTCTGCGTAGAAATTTATTAGTTTCATGACAATATTATATAAAATATTCACTAGTGTTTTTATTCCACAAAATACGAAAGTTATTTGCACCGATAAAATACGAATAGTTTGAATGAAATTTGATTTATTGGATTAAAAGCTATGTAGAATAACTTTACATTATGTTAATATTACACTTAGCTAATTTAAAATAAATTAATTTGAATCATAAACAAATACAGTAACCGTTTTACTGTGTAAAATTGTTATGTCTATATGTAAACTCTGTTTGATGCTTCCATTTATTGTATAGCTACTCAAAGTAATGAAAAATTTTCATCAGGTCAATGGGATCCTGATAAAATTCCTGTGGACGATTTGATCCGCGGTTGCTTGTTACTCCTGGAGGTGGGCATAATGCAACCAAAGTTACAAGTACTGGGTGGCACGGCGCTACTAGACTGTGAAGGTCTCACCATGAAACATATGAGACAATTCTCACCTAGTATAGCACTCCAGGGTATGAACGTCATGGGGGTGAGTTTTAATTATTTATTTGGAAGATACTTTAGAAACTGCTGAAAAGCTATCTGTAAATTTTAAATTATATATTTGTTTAATGGTCAGTTAACCGTAGATGAACTGAAAATTCATACCTATTTTATCTGGTTTTTATCACTCAACCGTTATCAGTCTTGTTCTTTAATTCCATTTAAATTTTCTACAAATCATTCCAAGAATTACTATAGCGAATTAATCTTGCGTTTTATTTCACTACCGCAACCTTTTGTATACTATTAGAAGCACAAAATAGTTATATTGGGACTTTATTTTATGATATGTTAGAAATGCGAGTAACAATTTACATTAATTAGATTAATTAATATTTCAGTTCTCCTTCCCACTCCATCAGCGGGAGGTTCACGTGATAAACTGCTCAAGGATCTTCGAGACGCTGTTTCATGTATTCAGGAGGCTTGCACCTACTGATGACTTATGGAAAAGGGTGCACTTTCATGGATACGATTTGACCTCATTACATAGGTATTAATACGTATTTCAAATTTAAAAGTATTTTTTAAACCGTTTCCAGACGGTATTGGGAATATTCACTTTAGATAATGGAGGAAATCGAACTTGTTTTAATAGAAAAAAAAATACCTTATGTAGAGTTAGGTGCACCCTACCAATTCATTGATCTTCTTCTTCTTCTTTTATAATGGCATATCTGCGCAGTGAAAATTAAATTTATGAAAGATGGCGATTAATTTATCCAAAAGTCTGTTTAAACGTCATTAAAATATTTGACAAAACTAATTTTGATATGAAATCCTCAGAATATGAAATCTTCAGTTACCTGATATTTGGAATGTCTATTGTAAAATAATGTTTGATTTACCCGTCTACAAATGTTGAAAGAGAATCCGCAATTGTAGAAGTCAAGCAAAAATTTAGTATCTTTATTTCCTCTGTGCTTAACATGCCTTTAGAACGTTAAACCCTAACAATAATGAGATCATGTGCCTCACCAGAGGCAATAATGATAATAGATATACGTAATACGTTATTGTAAAACATCCAAGATTTTGGTGTAGACATTATATAAAGACTAATACCCGGTATCGTAAGTATTTGATAATTCAACGCGATACTTTAAAAATGAATTTTACGAGTATACAGAATTTGAAATGTCGAAAAATATGTCTTAAAAGTTGTTTTGACGTATAAATTTATTTGACCTTTAGGTACGTAGACCCAGAGTGCTTACCCAAACGATATGGTGGATACAGAGACCCCGTCACCCTTCGTCAGTGGCTCACGAAGATTCGTCGCTACAAGAATAAAGACTTCGATAGTGATATGCGCAGCCTAGGATACTACGCGGATTAAAATTATAATCTGTTTTAAGTTTTGCGTTTGTATATCATTGTGTTCTGTAATAAAACAAATTAAGTTATTTTCAATGCATACACATAAAATTTCCAGGATGTGAACGTATATATCACAAAAAAAAACACATATAACTCCAGAGTTATCAATTTTTGTTGATGGTTTAAACGCAAGGCTAAAACTGATCTTTACGCCTTAGCCGATTGAAAACACTACCCGCAATATATGAGGTTTTGCGTTTTCAGTTGTACTTAAATCGCGTGTACTTAAACGCTGTGCGAGCTTAGCCTAAAATGGAGATTGTGGGTTATTTTTATTTAACAAAAAAACTTTATACATTTTTCTGTAACTTTTAAGCGTTAAAATGATCTACTATACTTATCTTTATAATACTCAAAACATTGAGATTGACATTGAACATTGAAACATTGACAGTTTTCATTTCAAAAGTATTATATAGTATTATATATATGATTACATGTGATGAGATAAGATGTGATTGATAATAGGCTCCAATAAAAAATATATTGTTTTTAATTTTTAATTTAGCTAGCTAAATGCAATAAATTTCTTGAAGTCATTCAGATTCAGAATAGTTTAAAAATTTCGTACGTTTACCTTTGTGCCTACTGATAGATGTTCTAAATATTATAGTTTCACTAAATTGTCTAGATGCATCTGTACGAAAGAGATACGTAATGCCGGGTCATTGTACAAAATTTTAATGTTCAACCTTACTAATAAGGAAAAGTGATTTTGTATCAAAAAGTGCCTTGTGTTTATTGTATTTTTTTATCTAATACAAAAGTTATATTTTCTTACTTTTGTAATAATTATAATATATTTTGATAAGTTGTCTTTTATTGTCCTTTTTTACTTTTTATCAGGTTTTTGTGATACAAATTGTGTTTGAGAGATAAGAAGAGTATGGTCATGAGAATATGTATATTCATTAAATAGATGAAAAACATTAAAGTAGCAACTATGTCAATAAATACTTATTTATATATGATTGGTATGGCCTGTAGTGTGCATTATTAATTTTATTTTATCGCTATACGCATAACGCACCCCACCACAGAACATAGAGAGAGAATAGAAGTATAATGATATTGATTTAGTATGGGAACCGAGTGTCGCCTCTCCGCACACAAACACAGATTAGATAAAATGATCATTTTGTTCACTACATGAAAAACTGCCACGCGATTCGTTCGTGATAGCATAAACAGAATCCCAAAAAGATACTAAGCTAAGAAATCACACGATTAAAAACAAACTCTAATTCAACGTGATAATAAATAATTTACTTTAACATGAATGTTGAACTGTCACGTGGCTGTATACGGGGATACCAGAAGGGAAAAAATATTTTAAGATTAAGCACATTTTAAAAAATTGGGGACATCATTTTATGTGCGAACTATTAAGATTAGATTTTGCTGTAACCAAGTGAATATTAAAAAATAACGCTTTTCCCTATATAACTTCTTTTAAAAAACGCAGTACAAAAACTAAGAAAACTTAATGATAAACTCTATCATATGTCTGCGGAGTAATATAATTAAGCGAGGGAAAGTGTAAAAAAAAACAAAAATTAAGAAACCAACAGAATTTTTGTATTAATTACATTAAGCCTAATTTGTCGTTCATTTACTGGTATCATTCCGATTGTGCATATTAGTGATGTGACATAATAGTAGTTCATGAAATAAGAGGTTTAAATTTTGTTATGAAACAGTAAAATGTAATTCAGTTCGACAATGTTCTACAGTGGTTTGTTAGTAATTATTTAAAGCTTAATTCAAATAAAATGAAATGCATAAAGTTTGCATTACCTAATGTGAGGCATATTAATACACTTATAAATGTAAATAGTGAAAAAGTTGAGTTGGTGAAATCGACAAAGTTCCTTGGTATTACACTAAATTCCCGACTGCAATGGCATCCTCATATTAATAATTTGTCAAGTAGACTGAGTTCTGCAGCATTTGCTGTTAAGCAAATTAGACTCTTGACAAATGTTGAAACGGCAGGATTGGTATATTTTAGTTATTTTCATAGTGTAATGACGTATAATCTGTTGTTGTGGGGTTCTGCGGCTAGCATTCAAGATATTTTTATTCTACAAAAGAGAGCTGTCCATGCTATATATAATTTACGGTCTAGAGAATCTCTCAGAGAAATATTTAAAGAAATAAATATTTTGACTGTTGCCTCTCAATACATCAATGAAAATATTATCTACGCAAGAAAACATTACGATTCCTTCACAAAAAAAGTAGTGTTCATAATCATAACACAAGAAATAAAAATAAACTTGCCGTTCCAAGCTTCTGACTTCAGAAAACCAGAGGATCAATGCATTTACATTGCTATGTTCAATAAAGTTCCACAAAATGTAGTTTACCTACCCATAAATAAATTTAAAATTCATGTAATGAACATACTTATGAGTAAAGGCTATTATAAAGTTGATGATTATTTTAAGAATCGCAATGCATGGAATGAATAGCCATCGCTTTGTTCTATTAAGACTAATTATATGTTCAACCTATGTCCTACAGACTTTGAAAGTTGTATTTATTATTGTGATAAGATATGAAATGACATGATTTATGTAAATATCTTAGGGCTGGTAAGTTTCTTTCGCTTGTTCTTCTTGTCAGCTAAAAGACGTCCTGAACAAGTGGTAGGGGAAAAAAATTTTTTGGACGATTCAAAAGTGCTTGTAATAGCCTACTTGAATAAAGATATTTTCATTTCATAATAACTAATATGATCATTACAATAATAAATTGATCATAGCCATGTTTGTTTTACTTTATTATTCTAAGTTTATTATTCTAACTGTAATAATAATAGTACCTACATTTTTAATTGCAACGACTGGACAATAAGGAATCGCTGGTCAAGTATGAGTTTGAAAGCCGTGACAAAAAAGTTTGAAGACAGACACAAAAGCGATAAGTACATACAAACGTCAATCTACATATAAAGTCACATCCGTTTGAGACATGCGTTTATAAACTTATGTGCAAATATGAAGCAACAAAAAAGCTGATAAAAGCTGTTCTGTGGGCGGTTCTTTAAAGTGGCTATCTTAACTCGATTTCTATAATAATGGTTTCCGATTATGAATCAGCATAATAAAGTAAATTAAATTGACGCCTATAAATTAATTTTGTAAATTAAATTCACACCACCAACAATATTACGTTAGTTGAAAACATGATTTTTTGTTTGTATAGATAATATGTTGTTTTGAAATTCATTTGATAGGTTTAGGTCTAAAACGGATAGGACAAAATAAATTATGTAAACAGGGCAATCCGTTGTAAAGTTATTAGGGAAACTGAAATATAAGTAATGCAAAATAAGTGAAATCCAGTTTCACCAGTTTCTAATAAGACCTATTAGGCCAACACTCGTAGCTTTTCACGAAGTTTCGTTTGATTTATATATTGTTCATAAAACGTTGATATACTTCGTAATTTAGATATTTATAGCACATCAGTATTTTTTAATATTTATCTGCGTGTAAATAATTAACCAAATCTTCGTAAAAAAGTGCCTGAATAGTTCATTATTTCATCTGTTTGGTATCAATTCATCATTTATTTTCAGGAGGCACAGCACTATTTTTTGCAAAAGTGCACAATATGATTTACATTGCTGTCTAGAAACGGGGTTAGAAACAAACATGTTGGTTTGAGCAAACAATGTATATTTTATTTGAAATTGTGTCAAATTATTACGTTTTTTATATTTTAGCACTAAAATTGTACTTACCAGTGAAAGGAAATGTTTGCATTAGTTAGATTGTATACTTTGTTTTGCTTTTTGCAAGTGATAATAGCACAAAACGGTATTTTTTATAGAAAAAATCAGTAAAATCACCACTCGACGATTGACGAACGACTGACAAATATAAAACCGAGGAAAGTGCGACATATGAGTAAAAGCGCATATGCCAGCGACGCTTGCCCCGCCCACTTACTACTTCTATTCTCTCTCTATGTTCTGTGCACCCCACCGTAGCATAGAGCGCCTTAGCATGACTTTCTCAAGAGACTCGAGAAACGGACGAGAGCGAGACTAAAAATAAAATAGAGTATAGCACGAGCACATCCCAATCCCGATACTTTTCCAAAGCTTCTCGAGCGATCCCCGTGTCCCTCGAGTTCGTAATTTTTTGCGGGCTAACCTGGTAGCTAAAACGGTTCTTATCTTCTAGTATTTTTCAACATACAAAATAGGATTTTTTAAACGTATTGAAATAATGACCCTCAGAAAAGTACTCGTCGATTTTGCGTTTATCGACCGACACCCATCAACCGTAAGACTCGACTGAAAATGAACTGTTCTGTTATTATCTTTAGGTGTTAATTACCTCCTAATTTCAATTTTCCACATGTACCTTAGCTACTTACATACAGTTGCACAAAGTTTCATTAAGTTTTCAAGACGACTATAAAGCTCTAATTAATGTTTGTAACCGTAGTGGCGCTCCTTTTTCTTTTTTAATTTAATGGACGTTTGTGCAACTGAGTATAATAAGTTTGGTGTCTGAGCACATAAATATTGATTGCTAATATTTGTTATTTATTATCAAATAATTTCTTATTTCATGAATTAAACCTTTTTTCTGACTAATCATTCTAACAACTAAACAGCATAGGGCCTGATTTGTGGAGGTGGGAGGACTGACACATAGATACTTATAAAAATTATCGCGCCTAGTAGCCCGAAATATATTTAAACTATCGTTTTATTAAATTTGGTCTGAATTATATTTTTCGTTACCTCCACATAATAGCTCATATTTACTCCCAATAATAAATTAATTCTTCATAATTACCCGTACGTTGCGTACGATCTTAAGTGAATTGAAAAACCATGAAAAATTGAATGAAAAATTGTGAAGTCCAGAATTTCTTCAACTTACAATCTCAATCACCGCAAACATATCAACATTGACAAGCCCTTAGGTTTAGGTTAGGCCCTTAGGTGACTTTGAGAAATATTCATTGGTTCATCTGGGAACACGAGAGTGTTCCTACCAAGTCGAGCGCGAAACAACATTGTCGTAGCATCTCCTTTTAGAACATTTCGTCGCATTTTCATGTCGCCGCATTATATTTGAGAACCTCTGGATGGGACTAGAACGCTGAAATTATCTGGTACACTATAATTACACACCTAAATCCAAAATATTAAGGCAGTATATCATTTAGTTCTGAAGCTAAGCGAAAGCAGTTTCGCATTTTCAACACTGACACGCTAACTCACTGATCATCAAATTAAAACTGGTACTTCCTATTGACCTAGAGCGCTGAAATTTGATACAGAGGTAGAGTTTAACGCCCACATAGAAAAGAAAAACTATCAAAACTAGAATCATGGAAGATATGGACTACCTGGTGACCCTGATGAGAAATCGTAAGAGCACACCCAAACTATTTACGTTATCGACCGATTGCATAATTTATTCTACTTGATGGGCCTCTGCTATTAATATGAATATAAAATGAAAAATAATTTAAAATGATTTCCTATATCGACGCCATCAATGTTTGCGTTCAAATAATGCGCTGGACTAGGATTGATATCAGCACACATCATTAGATGGCGCTGTCTGTTATATGGCGAAGTGACAACTGGTCGATTTACAGTAATTTACGACATTATTCTACTGCTAGTCAGCTTTCTGCAAAAAGACGTGAATTCGCACCATTAATATTCTGTAAAAAATACCTAAGACTTTTTTACACGTTAGTGGGTACAGGTCAACTAAATTGCAGTAAGGAACCTTAGACTTGGGTCAAGATTGTCTAATGATTTCATTACTTATAAAAGTAGCTCCATTCGAGACTTACCATGGACATATAAATTTCTCTCGCTTTTCACCTCGCAAAGCGAATGACACGAGATACTATAATAAGAATGATGACAAATTTGTCCGTCAATTAAATTATTAAGGAATATTAAACGCGTATTTTACATAACGTCACACCATTGTACATTTTCTACATAGTTGTGACGTAGACATTTCTTAGGGCGTTTTTGCATTACACTGAATTTTTACGTCCGGTCCGATATGTCAGGTCATGTGTAGGTAATGCTAGCCCTGTCACGAATTTTACTCATCCGGGTTTTTCATGTTATTTCTTACTGAAAATTCAATGTAGTGCACAAACGCCCTTAAATTTATTGTTTATTATCGAAGGCTTAGATTCTTTGCCAGTTCTGGTTGAAATTGAAGCAAAAAAAAAACATATCTAATATTTTTCTATTATCTGACTAACGCGGACTAAATAGAATTTCTTTTTCTTAATCTGACGATTCTATTCGTAATGTTTGTTCGTATGTTTATATAGAAACACTTTTAAAATTCGTTTGCTCTTTTCGGTGAGATGATGATTGATTAATGTGCGTTTAGCATAATTTATTCTTAAGTGTTTCTGTTAGTGTCTGCGTATACACAACACACAAGATTATTTTCTTTCAGCTTATATCGTACCATGAACGTTTACACATTTACGGTCATTCGTTATCAGTACGTATCATAATAAAAACAAGTGTGGACGTCAGTGATCATATTAGGTTATAAATATTAACAAATTGAACTCTCTTAAAACATATTCAGGGTAAGTAAGAAACATCAATAAGAATTAAATCTTGAAACTTAATTCTTAAGATATACTTTGTCACCAAGAAGTTCATAAATTTAAATGAGAATTTATCATTGTTTATGCTATATTTCAATTCGTTTACTACATGTAATTAGATATATTAGTATCTCATCGCCTTTTAGTATGAGTAACGTTTATAGTAATCATTTACATAAAAATTATTAGCGTTTTTTTATGAAATATCACTATGTTCAATAGAACTCTTAAGTTTCTTAAGGCTTTGAATGGATTCGATTAATTAAAAAAAAAGATAAAGTTCGTTTGTAGTTAGTATTCTTCGTAAAAACTGCAGAGTGAATCCGTGCAAATTCGAACCCGAATTCTAATTCAGGCAGGTGACCAAATTCACATAGAAAGCGGATCCACTTAGATTATATTATTGAAGAAATTCAATTCATTTGATTTATACGTGTCTCAGATATTCTATCCCTGTCATTTCGAAAGTCACTTCACTTATCCCACGATACGTTAATACCAATTCAAGGTTAAGCGGATGTTGCTTTCAAAGTAAATTTGGGCACCTGAGTGAATTCGAATTCGGGTTCGGATTTTTATGGAATTACACTGTGTTCTGAAATATTTTCAACTACATCATACGCGAGTAATATAGGATATAATTTTTCGAGCGAAGTCGTGGGAAAACAGGTAGACGAGTAATAAAATCGCTTAATATAACCATATATCTATTTACACAATTTTTTATCATTTACTATAAGAAAAATAATGTATTATCTGAAAATATATATAAAAATATATTTAAGTATAAATGAACAGAAATCTCTTTCATATTTTGTTCTGTTGGGTATTGTTGTTCGGGACAGCCTAAACAAATTAAATAAGATATTACTGAAAACGATTTAAAAATAAATGTCAATCAAATGTCTATCTGCCATATAGAAAATAATTTATTCAAGATTTAAATTAATTTTAAATTCAAATATATTTGTAAAGTATGATAAATAAGTAAACAATAGACACAATGATACAAAAAAAAAGGAGTTAATGATGTAAACGATGTTCTAAAATTTTAATGAATTTCATGAAAATATTTCTATCCCTATCAAATAAAGCAATGTATGTAAATTATGCTGTCTAAAATTTAAGCCTTAATTATATTTGAAATAGAAGTTTTTATAAATTCGTGTTTTGACCCTATTAACATTCTTTCTCAATCATGATTTGTATTTTCCATTACAGCTTCTTCAGGCGTCATACCTTTCTACGAAAACAATTAAAAGTCAGTGATTTTTTGTTTAATCGTCCTCTATAAGGAGAATTAAGCCACTAAGTACGATCTTTACGTCTTTCCCTTTCTTGACTTTTATGATTCTTGAATACATGTTTGAAACAAATGTATTCAAAATACTTTATTGGTGTTCATCTTATAAAATTCTTGATCAAGTCTGATAATAATTTGTAATAATGACCATGATATAGGTACCTTTATTTTGAAATATTCTAGATAAATATAGAGATGCCGATGCCATTCATAGAGATCGTGTACCAGGCGGAGATAAGCAGGTTCGAAGATCCTGATTTCGAAGAATTCGCCCTAAGAAACTGTTGTGAAGAGTCAGAAACACGAACGAAGGTCATTGAAGAATTTCGATCTATGATTATTGGTAAAGTATTTACTTAGAAAAATCAAGATAGCGTAATGATTAGCGTATCTTATTCAAAAAACTAAACCTAACAACCTAATATTATAAGTTAGAAGACACAGAAAGTACACTAACTTGCAAATTTATCGCTGGTAAAACCTGTTAACTGTCAATTTTCACAAAAACGATATGAGGTTTTCCAGTAGATGCAGCTTAAACTTTTCTATCAAATTAACTCAATTTTATTACAAGCTTTTATTTAACTTGTCTTGTTAGTTAGTATAGTGCGCAAATCTTGGAACTTTGACCCACTTCCCTATGTCCGATAGATTTGAACTTTTGCATAGACATGTAAGTCAGATGACGATGCAATATTACGATGTCAGTAAGCTGATATGATGATGAAATCCGAAGGTGGTCATAGGAAGTCAGTGATGAAATGACGCAACCGCATCGTGTTTGAGCTCGTTTGATCCGACTTTATGAGGACTTTGGTACTGGATGCTTTCTAGACCAAGGTTTGGTAATGATGAAGCTGGAGGTAGTCATGGGAACTTAGCAATGAAATAACGCAACTGCTTCGTGTTTGAGCTCTTTAGAATAATATGAGAACAACAACATGTATTACATAAAATTAACAAGAAAAACACCTCGCAATACAGATGCTATGTCAGAAATGAATAGAATGAGAGACAAAAGTAAAAAAATAATAAAAAAGTTAAAAAAAACTTTTATTTGTGTGCACCAACATATAAATAATAATTGTATGCAAGACAAGTTCATAACGTTAATGATAAAGTACTTATAATTAAGATTTTCTCTAACAGTAATTGACTTGAAAATGTGTAGACTGTAGCGCTAATGAAATCGGAAACGAGAAAATACACACATTTTCAAGGTTTTCAAGTTTCAAAACGCATTATTCGATATTGAATTTGGCCCCTTGGAATAGTAACCGTATGTGCTACTCTATGTTCATAATTGTTAAAATATAGTTTTGTGTGGATATAGTCTAGTTAATAATAATAATAATAATAAATCTTTATTTCAGACCCAGTGATTCATATTAAATTACAAATTACAGAAACATGATTACAAATAAAAATATTACATAATATAATATGGCTTTCTATTACATAGATTCAGGTGGCAATATCGTACCATCGTCTATATGTTACAGTTTGCACAAGTCTTTCGGCTAGAGCCTTTACCACAGCATTATCAGACCTGTCGACTCTGGACATGAGGGATGCTATTCTCTTACGCTGAATAGCACTAAATGAATTGATACGACTTTCTGTGAACATTTCTGAAGCACTGCAATAACGTTTTAGTTTCATTAGATATCGAAAGATGTTATTATAAGTTACTCGAAGGCCATCATGTGCTTTTTTCGTGTATTCAGTCCAGAGTTGACACGTATAAAAATTCTGGCAAAAGGACCTAAAGAGCGTTAATTTCACATCATTAGAAGCGTTACAATACTTTCGGGCAATCATATTTCCCACCACACAAAGAGTTCTACGTTGCCGTTCAATATCGGCATCATCTATTAAGCAATCAACTAAAACATGGCCAAGATACTTGAACGTATTTACTATTTTGATGGGTTTACCATTAAGACGAACTGTTGATAAATTAAAAGCACTATTTCCGGATCTGAAAATCATCACTTCTGTTTTTTTATTATTATATGTAAGATAGTGTTCATTTGCATAGTTTTCACATATTTTTACAAGTTTTCTTAATCCTTTAATCGAGAGGCTGATCAGCACCATATCATCACCGTAGCTCAGGTTGTTGACATATCTATCATCCAACCTGAGCCCAACCGGCGTCCTGCTCAGCTCCACAATCAAGTCATTAACATATACATTAAACAGATCAGGAGAGGTGAGTCCCCCCTGTCTCACTCCACATGAAAGTTTGTATTCATGTGATAGTACCGAACCCCACCTTACACTACAGGTCTGTTCACGACACCAGTATGCCAGAAGATCAACAACCTCAGGCGGAACATTTCCTTCCGCATTACGTAATTTTTGCCATAATAGTTCATGATTTAATGTATCAAAAGCACGACTCAGGTCCAAGAAACATGCATACACAGTAGTGTTACGCACCCCGTAGTAGCGTATTACCTGTTTTAAAGAGAAAATAGCAATATCCGTAAATCTATCAGACCGAAAACCAAACTGTCCATGATCCAACTTTATAGAACTCAGATGCGAGTGAAGAACTCGTTCAAGTACCTTGGCGATTATTGTTGCCAATGAAATGGGCCTATAATTAGCCGCACTAGTTATGTCTCCCGTTTTAAAATTAATCCTTTCAGAGTGCGCAAAGTGCAAACCACGGCGAACAGATGACGTTTATTTGCTTAAGTTTCTGCGCTGTCGCAAATTCAATACTAGGCGTGCACACAAACTGGTAATATTTTTTTCATATTTTCATGTTATGGCATGTTTATACAGAGTATTTCAAATGTGACGATATTGACTATATCCAAAATTGGAAAAACGGACGCAGTTTTTGGGGAAAAACACCAACAATATATTGAGTCTTTTGAAAATCTTATTTATGCCAGATATTTATAAAAAAATATTATGACACGGCTGGCGTCATAATATGTTGGTGTATCATTTTTTTAAATTAAGATAAACAATTGCGGTATTATTTCTCTTCAGTTTTTTTTCTTTATTACGACTTTTTGAATTCGGTTTCATTTTTTTTTATTGCCTTCTTAATAGTATTTCATTGTTTACCCGGACAAATATATAAATTTTAAGAGTATTTAGTACATTATGCCTTGTCCAAGGCAAGGTCAAAGTAAAATGGATACAATATAAAAAATAAGTATTTTGAATCTACCCTAGCTAGACAAATAGAAGATGGAGTCAGACTGCCTGAAACAGTAAATAAAAAGATCACATACCAGGTTGTCCTAACATTGAAGAAAGTTACAGATGGAGCGTTACGATGAGTTTCGACGGGATAACGCGTATTTATATGATTGTGATCCATTCACTCTAGATAAAGTAAAGCATGTATATGGGGCAATTATTCCTGAGAGTCCGCAACATGGACGAGTCGTGGTTATGAAATTTGGTAAGTTTCGCATAAACTAGTAATAATTTCACATTTTTTTTAAATAAAAAATAAAAAACTCATTTACAATAGAACTGTGACACGAATCCTTAGGAACCTAAGTCTATCATTGCACAAAAACTATGTAAATTACTCGTAAATTTAAGATAAGCTGTAGTAAATGCTGTAAAAAATTACCTAGTGAAATTTGTTATCAAATGAATTTAGATTTACGTATGGTATGATGGGGTTGGCATGTTCTAAAGAATAACACCCCTTAAAAATTAAAAGAATAAAAAAAAAGGATCCTTAGGTCACTGATTAATGTATCAAAATTTAAGTGAATTGAACTTTTAGGTTGCTGGGACACAGACGATGTGTCGTTAACGGACATAATCCGCTGTGCCTTGTTCATGCTGGAAGTGACATTTCAGCAGCCAAAGATGCAGGTGTTGGGAGTCACACTAATTGTGGATATGGAAGGGATCGCCATAAAGCATGTTCGTCATCTTAACTCCAACGCAGCCTATTTGATAGCAGGCCTATTCGGTGTAAGCATATTTCTTAACAAAAAAACTATATTTGCTGTTGAGAACATTCGTAATAGAAGGTAGGTATGACAAGACTCTAGAATCAAGGTTAGAGAGTTAGGCGGTCGCAACCCAGGGCCCTGCCTCAGTATAATTGGTCCAACATAATGTGTGCCGCATCAATACTGATATAATATACCGCATCAATCTAGCATAGCCTGTGACTGTAGGTGCAAACAAACACAAAACATGCCATACTCTTTTTGCATATCCTTTAAATAGCTCGGTCTTTTCGATGGTTTTCCGCTCTTTCTAACCTGGCAACATAACTTTGCAGATGGCATTCCCTGTGATAGTACACAACATCTACATAGTCAACTACAGCTGGCTTTTCAACCCATTCTTCTACTTGTTGAAGAAATTTACAAGTAAATCTGTGTGGAATATAATTAATTATCTTGGAAATGATACTAGTAGCATCAAAAATCATATTGATTCTGAATATCTGCCTCCAGAATATGAAGGAACCGGCAATGTAATCAAATTTGAAGATTGGATCAATAAAATTAATTATTACAAAGATGAATTTCTCGTGCATGAATTAAAAGATCTAGGATTCACTGTTAGTTAGTGTTAGATTAGTTATTATAATTAAAAAAATAATATATATATTACATATTTTTATAGTTAGGTATTTCATAAATTAGCATAAAAAATAAAGTCAAAGGAAGTCTAGTTTTTCTTTCAGTTAAGTTTTAATCTACCTACATTTATTACGTGTATTTACATTATACCTTTTATTCTAGCAGTAAAAATACTGAATAATACCTAGTCTGGCCGTAAATTCTGTTACAATTTCAAAAGTAAAGATTTTCTAAATTTTTTAATTTCGAATTTGGAACGCTGCTATGTCATTTTATTTATTAAGAGTTACTCTTTGCAAAACAACAAGATTTTTGTCATAAATTAAATATTTTAAAATGGAGTGGGGTGTTAAAGAAGATAGAATCGCTGTTATTGCACTACATAAGGTGGGAATGGAGCCTTCCGTGATTTATAAGATCCTTCAGAAGCTAGGTATCAGTCGGATGTTTGTGTATCGTACCATCAATAGGTTCGTAGAGACCTTCTCTATTGATGACCTCAAGAGATCAGACCATCCGCGTACTGCTCGAACCACACAGGCTATCAACGCGGTCCGAACCAGACCTCGACGAAATCCCTTGAGAAAGCAGAAGATTTTATCCCGTGAAATAAAGATCAAGCCTAGAACTCTGTCCCGAATAATCAAAGATGACCTAAAACTTGGGGCTTACCGTTGATATACCGGACATACCCTCAATCGAGCTTTAATGACGAAAAGGGTCGAAAGATAAAAACAGTTGCTCGTTCGTTACGCAGGTGGAAAGCACAGGAACATTTTGTTTACTGACGAGAAAAACCATTGAAGAATATTTCAACAAGCAAAATGTTCGTGTTAACGTCCACAATTCTAAAGAAGCGGCCCAAGTCGTAAAGAGAGTCCAGAGAGGCCACCACCCAGCGTCATTGATGGTTTGCTGGGGGGTGTCCTACCACGGCGTTACCAAGCTTCATTTCTGTGAAAAGAGTGTTAAAACTTCCGCCAAGGTGTAAAAAGAAACCATCCTAAATGACTTTATCAAAGCCGATGATTGGCCCTCCTCCAGTCCAGACCTGAACCCATTAGATTACACACACCACAATTTGGAATCTCTCAAGAGATCACTGGAGCGAGCAGTGGCCAGCTTCCCTATGGATGTCGTACATAAAAATATTGACGACTGGCCGGAACGTTTAAAAGCTTGTGTAAACGCTAAGGGTGCTCACTTTGAATAAAATTTTATGTAAAACAATTATTTAGAGTATTTTTCTAACACTTACATTTATATAAAACTAAAGAAAAAAAGAATTGACCATTTTCATTTGTATTACAGTATTTATGGCAGGACTAGGTATATACTCGTTTAGTTCCCGATTCGCATTAAAAACATTTAATGATACGCTTGTCACTAATTGTGATGTAAAAAACATCTTACATAAACCGCAATATGATTATGAGGAATTATTTAAAAAAAAATAAAGAAACTACAAAAATTTGTCACTAGATGGCAGCACACCATCAACATCCCTCCAGTAAGAACGGCACGATTCGATTCGTCATTCATAATACGTACCGCCAAGGACTGGAATAAATTGCCAGCGTCTGTATTTTCGACCGATAATAATGTAAATGTCTTCAAATCAAGAGTGAATAGGCTGTTACTAGGTTTTTGCGCTATACCACCCAAGGCTTCATCACTATTTACCATCAGGTGGGATCGTAGTCAAGCGTTAACCTATAAAGTATAAAAAAAAAACACATTTTTGGAATAGAATTGTCAGTGTTGTTATGGATCTGATAACTTGGATTAATATCGAGTTGAAATTTAATTAGTTCGAGTTATACAATCGCAACTCGATAAATACAAAGTAATCTTTGAATAAATTAGTTTTTTATTTGTATAGAGGAAAATGGAAACTAACATAATGGAAGTGAGCAAAAAAAACCTCTGTTTTTTTTTAATTTATGGAAATCAATTGAATTAATGCTGTGATATAATTAAAAGTGACATTTAGCTACAGCATACAATAATATGACCACCAAATAGTTTTTATAAATAAAATACTTATGCCATGGTAATTTTTCATTCTTGGTCTAGGATTTTTTCATTATAATATTTAACAAAAGGTAAGAAAACTAGGTAAGTTGTTTTATTGCTATTAGTTGTTTGTTGAACTTACAACAACAAAACTATGTACATCGAGTCTCAATAATATCTATACATTATGTGTGGTGAATGAATGAATAGGGTTTATTAATCAGCAACAAAAGTAATAAAACTATAATAATAATAAAAAATCCGTTTATTATCTATATACTTACCAGATATGTATCAAATATACTAGGTATACGTACAAAATAACAAGACTTCTGGCTAAAATGACATTTGTGCAAAGTGTAACGTGCAAATAACTTGTGCTTTCGAAATTAGGACTTTAAAAAACTATGATCAATTATTTAATCTTATATTCATAATTAAATCATCTTAATAAACACTCAGCAATCAATAAGAAACGTCTGTTCTAAACGAACAGCAAGGTTATAACTGTAAATTTCAAAATCACAAAGACACGTACAGTTATTATCCGCACGTTGAGAACGATAGTGACACAATGCAAAAAATGCGATTTTGAGTAATGAGCGTTTAAAGTTCAAGAAATTGTAAGCGGCTCCCCTAAACAACGTATCGTCACTACGCCACTTAGCAGTTTCTACGCAAGCTACGTTTACAGGGATCTTTGCATTTTAAAGTTTATACTTAACAAAGAAAAATATTGTCATAAGTAAAAAATACGTCGTTTTTGGTTAGTGACATTGTAATTCCCAACGTGCGATACTATTGCTACTGATCTTGCATGTCGACGCGTGGTCATGTGCTTAAGGTCGTTACCTACGTTCCCTCGAATATAGTATAGGTGAGTAGTATAATTAAAATTAAAAAAGCAGCCCTCGCTGAGTTTTTTGCCGATTCTTGTCAGTACAAGAGTCTCCCGCCTTAGTTTTGCGAACCATTGGCAAAGCTTTCGACTTTCACAAGTACTATGTAACAGCCTAGACTGAATTGATTTTGATATTTATATTAAAATCATTCTTTTGTGGATGCAAATGACACATACAAATACAAGCTGAATTCTGCGCTCCTCTTTTTGTTCTTCAAAACTTGAATTCGGATGAAAGTTACGAGCAACCAATAAGTTGGCTCATCACTAATGTTGACGTATCACCCAAACATCGTTCCTTTACACGTAACATAATAAACAACTTAAACTTACGATTAAAATAAATTTAAATTAATTTGAAAGTTAGATATTATAAGAAACACAAAACGATGTCATATTTATTAATTTTCGATACTCAATTTACTTTCATTACGTCTGAAACAAAATTTGAATGAATATCATAAAAAAAATCCAAACATCGCGAGTGACATCTAATATGATTTTAAGAACTAATTTCACTGCGTTACAAATGAAAAAAAAATTAAGTACCCGCTATGAAATGTCATGTTTTCCTATTTATTCCTATCGTTTAGTAAGAATACATACATATTTTCTTTTTGTGACGTTTCATTTTTTTTCCGTGTGGATATGACAAATTACACTAAAAATTTAAAGATTCAAACATAATTTAAAGATATCTAATAAAATGTACAAGATATTTTTCATTAATCGAGTTTATTTTTTATCATTTTTGTATAAAAAATACAAGTAAAATCAATGCATACAATTTAAACCCAGAATACCTTTATATTTTTACTTTATCTTTTGTGTTTTGAAGGACCTTCTCATTTTAGACGCCAGCAGTAATCGCCTAGCATAGTTGTATCCCAATGGCCTAGAAATCGTCCTTTAAGCTTCTTTATATCTTGGTGGAACCTCTCATCACAGTCAGCACCAAGATTAGATAGAAAAAAAGAAAAGTGGGAATGAAGAAAGTTAATTTTTGACGGCATTCTACAACCCAACTTTCCGTATGCTTTTAACATATAGTTAAGTAGCTGTTCCGCATGTTCGGCTCCATGGTTCCCTAAAAATTATTTTACTTATATTTTACAACATTTGGCATCTTGCGCTTCTGAAATCCCAATTTCATCTTTGGTATGAGGTAATGGAGGAGGCATTTCTTCTTTGTGAGGTATTTGTTTCAAATATAAAGGAATGTCAGGATACTGAATGATGTGCTTGATTTTCTTTTGAAAATTCACGTATGTCAGACATCCAAAAGTAGCAATCATAAAAATGATTACTAGGTCCACGCCATAAAGCTGGTACGGCAAATTGCATTGACGACTTGTTTCCATTTAACCAAGATATGAGAGTAGCATAGCACGTAACACAAAAAACTGTGGTATCCATGATTTATCTTGATTTACACATCCAAAATAAAGTAAATATGCACTTCTCACTTTTATGAAAACTGAAATAAAATGTACTGTCCACAAACATAACAAAACTTATTTATTTGGTTCATTTTTACAGTAGCGACGGCTTAGTTCAGTATTCATGTTGGATTTTTAAATAAATATGTTTAGAGATATCGAGGTTATCGAATAGAAACGATTTATTAATAAAACAAAACAATAAAAAAAGTATAATACATCGAAAACCTCAACTGTTTCTTTTACTCCTAAAGTGAGAGTTTAAAATAATGATTGACATCTACCTCGAAAACTAGACGTGATGGATTCCACATATATTTGGAACATTTTATCTGTGACTCATTACCTATTCATTCCAGCTATCAGTTTAACGGGTACCGAAATCGTGTAACGCAGTGTTTTTATTTTTTAAATACTTCCTCATTGGAATAATTTATAATGGTATTGGTAATGGTAACTCACTCATCGGTTTCAAAAATCAAACTAGATGTCGCTACGTAGTTTCAAATATGTATTTATAGTTTCAATCAAATTATTATTATTCCGCATGCCGATTTTATTTCTGATATTAAAACAAATTGAGTTTCTAATGATATTGAATTGGTATTAAAACTTGATATTAAATTGATAATAAAACAAACAAATTCGCCGTCTATTTTTAAGTCTTCGTAATACATTTTTTTAAACTGCAAAGTTTAATATGTAAAATGTCAAATAGAAAAGAATATGTTTTTACGGTCTTTTGTCCATCTTGATGTATTTAAACATTCCTGTTTTGAGGTATTTAGACATGGTATCTATTTAGAACATGATATTGCCATCAATGATGAAGTATTTTAAATAACATTAGCACCCGAAATCAAACTAGATGTCGCTACAGTACGTTCTTAATTTCTCCATGACAACCCTTCCGGTTTTCTTTCATGTTTAAAAGTAAATTAGTTTTCAAAACTCAATAAACAACTCATATTCTATTTGTACTTTTCCGTATTTGTATTGGAATCTAAGTTTTGAACTTTTCATATTTCAGTTTTTTAATATGTTAATTTAAAGGAACAGAAATTACTGGCTTTGGTTCATTCGTTTCCTAAAAAAATCAACTTTTGCTAGAGTCGCTATCTAGTGGTGGTGCTTTTTTAGTGCTTTCGTTTTTTTTAAATACTTAGTCATTCAGTCAAAACGACATCTATAAGCAGGCAAGTTAACTAGTTGCTTGACATTCTCGTGACAAGACACATAACATAGCAGACACAACAAAAATTTAGTTTTTTAAATATAGAAAAAAATGTAGTTATTTAAGTATATTTCAAATAAATGTATATTTTTATGTATATATTACATTTTTACAAAAGAAGTCAGTATACTTTTACAGATATAATTTCTAAAGGTTGACAGATTGACAAGGATTATCTGTGGATTTCCTGTAACGCCCTCTGTAAATCGAGTCCCGGACTAATAAAATCGACGTTCTCAGTCAGACTTTCATTTGCGACGGATACGATTTAACTAGGAGTGCATAACATTACAAGAATTTATTCACAACGCGCTCAACGAGGCGAGACCGGTATTTGGGAACCAGCTTGGTTCAAAGTGGAGCCATTTATACTAGAGGTGCATAAGTTTTAAGCAAGTCGGTAAATAAGATGGGTAATGAATATTAAAAACAGGTAAGGCGCTTTTTAAATTATGTTGAAGTCCTTTGAGAGTTTAGTGTTTAGCTTTTTCTGATGGATTTCTATTAAAACTAATATACAGCGTCTAGATATTAAAAATAAAATGAGTTACATACACATAAATGTATTTCTATATTAATAATATTATTAAGAGGCAAGATGTGATATAAATAACTCGAGCGAAGTCGCGGGAAATTATAGATTTAAATTTTAAGGCATCATTAAAAAAAAAAGAACTAGAATTATTTCCAAGCAGGGCTCGCAAACGTAATACTCAGCTCGGTGGCATAGTGAATAAACGCGGCGGCCCACTATTGCGTGGAGGGTCTTGGTCCCTCTTCCTTAACCATCCATAAACGAAGGTCTGCAATAGAGACGTATAAGGGCTCGCGAACGCTTTGAAAAATCGTAGCTTATAAATATTATTAACTAGGTTTCTCAAAAAAGGAATCGTTTCACGAGTATAACCATTAATATGAACCTGGTTGGTTACCAGCAAAATTGAACTTTTTAAGCTAATTCTTTTTAGGACCAATTTTTTGTTAAGAGTGACCCTTAAGTGCTTACGTGTTGTATATTTTTTACTCTTAATAACGGATATTCAACTCGAAACACACGTATGCAGTTTCTTACGAGTTGGTGAATGATATTAACCAGGATCTCTATAGTTTCGTTTCCTAATTGCATCCTTAATTTAAAATTATCCATTTTATGAAGTTACTAATAATCCATTATCAACATAGAATTGGTCATATAATAAATAACAAACCAAAAATGTAAGGAAAGAACAGGATTATGGGATTGCATTAATTAGGAGTACACACAGTTTACAAATACTAATAAGGTTACCTTAGAAAATTACCCGTAAATATTACAGTATTAAAAAAATCTAAATAATTTGTATAAATCTTTTTATTATTCTTAACCAGTACCTTAAAATATTATTAATTGTAAAGGTATTTTTGTATACATAAATTGGATTAGTAGTAGATATACTTAACTGTGTAACTAGATTGAAAATTACTGAGAGAATTCATTAGATATTGTTTTTATTAGATATCTGATATTGATTAATATTATAATAATCATGTAAAGCATTATGATTGTATTGATAATAACACACAACATTAGTTAATTTGACGTAAGTAGTTATCCATCAAACACCATTCTATGGTGTATCCTTTTTAATTCTTGTTCCACTTCGGCTAATATTGTGGAATCAATTTCATTAAAATCAACTTGCTCTGTTTCATGTTCCTCTGGTACATTGTTATCATCAGAATCCAGATTCTCATTCTCGAATACGTTGTTGTCGAATAATTTAAATATTTCATAGTTATTATAGTCATCATGCGTATATTTTCTTGGCCCTTTGCGCATATGATCTGGCATTTGATGAGTCCCATGAACAACTAAACGTAGCGGACCTACTTCACCGGAGTTATGTTCATCGGTCTACGAAATAATTGAAACACACAGTAGACACAAAATATATTTATATTATAAAGAGGAATTAGTTTGTATTGATTGACTACGCTCCGAAACTTTCAATTTGCTAAATTCTTTCACCTAAGGGAAGATACAGAGAATTCATAAAAGAGTATTTAACAAAATAATACTCGAGGACAGTAACTTACTTCATCTAAAAAGGTAACCTTCCAAATTCCATTCGAACTTTCACCCCACGTTGCAACCGACGTTAATGGCCAATTCATAAATCCATTAGAAGACGTGTCTTTTAATCGTGCGCTTAGAAGTGGCACTTTAGTACCTACAACAAATTACAAACAAACATATATTCTAAAACACCCTTCTTTTCTGACTGTAATAGTCAGGGAAAAAAAATACATAAATATTATCAAGAGCGCAGTTTAAAGTATAATTTACCTCGTGGCGACGTGAGATTAATTTCCAGAGCTCCTCGTCGACTATATCGAACATTTACAATCAATTCAACGTGCTCAATATAATTTATAGCACAATCAGCTACTTTTATCGGGATTTCTAGGGTTTCACCAGATGATATCGTATTTTCTCCATTTACCGTACTAGAAAAAAATATAACTTTTTAAATCTTATAAGTTAGGTAACAAAACCATTCTGGATTTTACGAACGGTAAATTCAACAAGTTTGCATATCACACCCACCACCTGTCGGGCGGTCGAAACTGAACGTATATTATACCAAGACCGCATAAACGCAAGAAAGTATTAAAGTTGCCGTAGTCGCAATACTCTTTAGATTTACTATTTGAAGTACAAAATAGTTTTTGTATTTCAAATACAATATTCAAAATAACTTCCGAAATACTTTATGCTTATATACAATGTCTGTCACTACATAGTATAAAACAAAGTCTTTTTCTCTGTCCCTATATCCCCATGTATACTTAAATCTTTAAAACTATGCAATGGATTTTGATGCGGTTTTTTTTCATAGATAGGGTGATGAAAAAGGAAGGTTTTTATGTATAATACAAGAACCACTCGGGCGACGTCGCTGGCGGAAAGCTAGTAATTAATAAACAAAAGATTGAATCAACAACTATTCTTCATATTCTTCTCCAGCGTTACGCATACCTAACATGGCTTTTTGAGACATGCTTTTTTTTGTAGCTTGATTTGATGTAGGCAAAACACGTAACAAAAATATTAGACAAATACCTTATGTAGAATATAAGACATCACATATGTTGTTCAGAATCCAAGATGATTAGCTAAAGCCTCCATATTATGGAATCTGAGACAACGAATATTTGACAAGACCCATATTAGTAGAAGACCCGACAGGGACTTCAAATATTGCGAAACCGCTATGCGAACCACTTGGAGGTCGTTGAACAAACAATTTTTTCTTAATAATATACAAATTGAGAACTTTGATATTCTGTCTGCTATAAAGTCAACGCCGGGCATACAAAATAGTTTTAATGAAATAAATTCATTATTACCTTTTGAGAATAGGTTTTATTACATTGAATTTAACACCGACTTTTGCACAGAACAGCACTGCAGTTCAGAAACAACTGTATACGATGGACGGACGCGAACATCAAAAATAATCCGACAAGCCCTGCCAGACTCGTGGAAAACCTAGTCGATAGTTGGCAGTTTTAAGCGGTCAGCACGCATGCATGATGAACTCAAAACCGTTTTGTGTACACCAAAATGTCACTTTTCTCGGTTGCACGATACGATATCCCGAAAGTGATATAGCGGTGTAGACATAGCGTTTCTCGAGTTTGTTATATGCTACGCGTGTTGGAAGGATTAACAAGAAACATAAATGATTGATTGATCTTAAGTCAAAGTTCAGATATATAGTAGCAAGCATCTACCAGGATTGCATACATACACCACGGTTTCTATCTGACATGTAAACTTTTCAGGAACCGTCGTCCAATTAAGCGCCGTTGTCACGAGAGCCGCAGCATTCATCAATCCAAATCCGAAGCGAATATCAAAGCGTAGACCAACTCTGTTAACAAATACTAAGACAATCAGAAAATAAAAAAGCTTCTAAATATTTCTGTTACAATGTCAATTTTTTGTAATAGTTTCCTAATGGTTGAGATTCATTAGTCCACGCGAACATAGGTTAGTAGGTATTTATGATTATTATTATAAATTAATATATTTGTATTTTACACAGTTTCGTATATTGCATTAAAGACCGAACCTTAGGAAAATATGACGGTTCATGTTTCATTACAAAACAAATTTTGTTAATTTATTTTATACTGTCAAGCTTAAACAAGGGTTTTGTATTATGAATTAATATCTTATTATTTCGCCAAAAGAACTTTCAAAAAAGTATGAACAGCCCATTCCGCTCTTTTTTGTTCTCTGCGTATGACCTTTTATCAGTCATACAATGTCCTCACAATCCAACAATAGGGTATTTTGCCATTTTTTAAGTTCGTTCCGAAGGTCCTAATAAACCAGTGAAAAAATGCAAAAATTTTATTCCGTCAGTAAGTGTTATTAGAAATATAACAAAATTTCACATTTTCAAATGTCGCACGATTTTGAAGAAAATTGCTGAGCGTCGCGTTGCTCTGTGGTCGTGACGTCATTTCGTGTTGTTAACTAATGTGTGAATATACCTTTTAAATTTTCTCTAAGTAGATGTACTACTCTTTTACAGTTGCAAACAAACAAATGCGTTGGATATTATTTATATTGCAGGTAGTTTTTATCACTAAAAAAAGGATTATTATTATTATTAGGTTGGGGAAAAGTATGCATAAACCTGTAATAAGTCTTTCAAGCTATATAACACCATTTGTATCTGGCTGGTTTCGGTCAACAAAAAGTTTAAATTTTAAAGAAGATGACACTAAATTCAATTAGGAAAATATGTGATTTTAATTGGTAAACGACAAAGTTAAAGAACTGGGGATTGACACAAAACAGTTTCGGCGTATTTGAAAAAGCTGGGTACACAAAAATGTTGGATATTTGGGAACCTCACGAGCTCACTGAAAGAAACCTAATGAACCGTGTACTCATTTGTGATTTTTTTATGATGGCGTAATAAAACCGAACCATTTTTGAAGAAGCTGATAACTGGTGATGAAAAGTGGATCACGTATGACAAGAACGTGCGATAATGGTTGTGGTCAAAGGTCGGTCAGGCTTCACAGACTGTGGCGAAACCCGGGAAAACTTGCAACAAGGTGATGCTGTGAGTATGGTGGGATTGGAAGGGTATTATTCATTAAGAGCTATTATCGCCAGGCAGGACCATCGATTCTGAACTCTACTGTGAACAACTGTTGACATCAAAGCAAGACAGCGGCCAGAATTAATCAATAGAATGGGTGTTTTTTTTATCATGTAGGTAATTTAAGTTTAGCTGGGAGGTGATAATGCTTCCATCGTATAGTCCTAACCTTGCACCTTTAGATTTGAACACCTGTTTCGGTCTCTTCAAAATTCTTTAGACAGTGTCAAGTCAACATTACACGATGACTCCCAAAACCACTTGTCGCGGTTTTGACCAGAATATCCCTACCTACAAGATGGCAAAAAGTTATCAAACAAAATGTTTAGTTAAAGGGTTTAGCCGGATACGTATGACGAGTCGGCCCCCAAATGGGAATCGATATTGAAACTTATGTTTTAATATCGACTTGATGTTCAAACACGATTTATGTACTTTTCGCGACCGACTTCCGCTTTGACCTTGAGATAGAGAGCAAAATATCCGTATGCTTGACTATTACTGAATGTGATATATCTCTAAAGCTAATTAAGATAAAGAAGTGAAACTAACGCGAGGTGTTGGGTTACATTACAGAGTATATCACATATATTTTTTTATAATTTTTAGAATAAAAAATTACATTAAAAATAAAAAAAATAAAAAAATCATGTTTTTTTTCTGAGTTCTCTGTGACTTACAATCACGAAATTAATATATGTTATGCTCCTTTGTGTGCTCTATCTATCTTATATATATATATATAAAAATGAATCGCAAAATGTGTTGGTAAGCGCATAACTCAACAACGCCTCGACCAATTTGGCCAAATCTTTTTTTAAAATGTTCGTTGAAGTTCAAGGATGGTTTTTACGGCGAGAAAAATTAGAATTATTGCTGGAAAAACCCTAAAAATAGCCCTTTTCTTTTTCCCATACAAATGATTTGTAACTAAAACGTAGTCAATTTGAGCTTTATTGCTATGGTATAAAGTTCATATTAAATTACAAGCACTCACTGTTGTCTAAGCAATGTAGGTGTGTTCCTAACGTCAAAGATCATATCTATCAAAACAATGTGCGTGTGTGCGTTGGAGCACAGAATACATAGTTGGAGGAGTTTAATGTCGCGTTCCGAAACTCGCGTTTCTTTTGTATTAGTTTCGGCACGCGAGATAAAATGCATCAGTTTCCACGTCATTACATCAGTCAAACAAAAATCGCGTTACCAGCAGTGTTTTATTATTTTTAATATCCAAATTTTAAATCAATAAAACAATTCGTACGGCTTAAAAGGATTTGACTTCAAGTCATATCAAATTTAAAAAAAAAAAAGTTGTCTGTGACCTAATCTACTGAGTTTGCTTTTGTCAACTGATACACGAAACAAATTCATATATCGTGTTTTGTGCAGTGTGTTTACTTAGTTAGTGTTTGTTTAGTTCGTGATAAGTGAAAAAATAATTTATATTTGAAAAAAACTGCCACATTACAAATCTTTTTGACAGGACGAAGTCTGTCGGGTCAGCTAGTTACCCATAAAAATTGCATGAAAAAAAAAGTTGGTGCAACACAACGAAAAAAAATGATATGTGATTTCTGTCTTATGGTATACCCCTGTATTATAAGGTTTTCACATTACATCATTGTTTTTTTTTCGAAATTTCACATCAGTTTGTTTTAAAACATAAGTAACTAGTCTTAAGAGATGGGATAATAGTTAAAAAAGAAATGAAAAAAAAAACAGCCAGTGTTCAATACTTATTATTATTATTTTTTCGTGTCTATCAAAATACAAGAAACAAAATATTAATCATCATCACTGTTGTAATTAATTACAATCGGAACACTTTGAGTCGCAAATAACTTAGTTAGGACCTCAGCAGGACGTACGATTTTGGTCAAATATCATCCATATGATAGATAATAAATAATAGCTGCTACATGAGAACAGCATCCCACTGTACGTTTGCCATTGGGGCAATCACAGCAATAACGAAGAATACTATTGTAGTCATTACCTTCGGAAATATAGTGAATGTAAATTCGACAGACTTTTCTATTTATAGGTCTTGATTTTACTTCTGCTTTGATGATATTAGGTGCTGATTTCACATATTGTACTGAGAGATTATTTTGATCGTCCATTATTTCGGCCAAGTTAAATGCTGCACATTTAGAAGTAGAAGCTTTTTTGTTAATATATGGGATAAGTCGACACTTCTTACATAAAATATCATTAACTATTACGATTTTATTCAAACAGTCACTAAACACTTTAGCTTCTTCTTCATTCTTTATAATTTTTTTATAACCAGGAATCTTACACAGGTACTTGTTACAATTTTTACACTTTCTCGACATTATTACTTAATAATGATTTGGTTCGATAGTTAATAATTTCAAAATGCTGATACAAAATACCTATGACAGAATTTGAGTCCCAAACTGCCTTCTTGTGTAATACAAATGACTGCTACTTTAGCTAAACAAACGATGCAGTAAACAGCTCGATAACAAGTTCGAACTTGTTTGTTTATACACTCACACTACAAGGCGCGAATCACATATTATTTTTTTTCGTTGTGTTGCACCAACTTTTTTTTCACGCAATTTTTATGGGTGATAGAGCACACAAAGGAGCATAACATATATTAATTTCGTGATTGTAAGTCACAGAGAACTCAGAAAAAAAAACATGTTTTTTTTATTTTTTTAATGTAATTTTTTATTCTAAAAATTATAAAAAAATATATGTGATATACTCTGTAATGTAACCTAACACCTCGCGTTAGTTTCACTTCTTTATCTTAATTAGCTTCAGAGATATATCACATTCAGTAATAGTCAAGCATACGGATATTTTGCTCTCTATCTCAAGGTCAAAGCGGAAGTCGGTCACGAAAAGTACATAAATCGTGTTTGAACATCAAGTCTATATTAAAACATAAGTTTCAATATCGATTCCCATTTGGGGGCCGACTCGTCATACGTATCCGGCTAAACCCTTTAAATAAACTTTAATAAAAAATGTTTTGAATTTTCATATAAAATGCGAAAAAACTTTTCCCCAACCTATTATTATTGTTTGTAACCTTAGTCAACGTATTACCGAGTGAGGTCATATCATGGCAGCTACTAGGCATGTGCGCCGATGCCAAAATCATCGGCGGCGGCGTGGACTAAAAAATTCAGTGGCGGCGGCGTAAATGGCGGCGTAAACGGCGTCGTTATGTCAAATGATGGAAAATTAAAATTTAAACAATTCAGAATGCCTTTATTGACAAAAAAATATAAAAGCTAATAAAACTAATAACTTCTTTTTTGTAACAATCAAATATGGCACAACTATACTCTTCTAAATTATATAACGTAGTCATAATGATATTAAACAACAATATGTACTATTTTGTTCGATAACTTTTTGCCATCTTGTAGGTAGGAACATGATCCCATTGCTATAGCAATTTTGGGGCTTCTAATCAAGAAACCGCGACAAGTGGTTTTGACAATACACGCGTGATGTTAACCTGACACTGCCTAAAGAATTCTGAAGAGACCTAAACAGGAAATCTGAAGGTGCAAGGTCAGGACTACAGGGCAGATGCATTAACACCTTCCAGCCAAACTCTTAATTTGAAAAACCACTTTCCATTGATTAATTCTGGCCGCTTTCTCACAACTTCTTGCTTTAATTTCATCAGTTATTCGCAGTAGAGTTCAGAATCGATGACGCTGCCTGACTGTAAGAGCTTATAATGAATAATACCCTTCCAATCCCCCCATACAAACAACATCATCTTTTTGCCAGTTAACCCGGGTTTCGCCACAGTCTGTAAAGCCTGACCGACCTTTGACCACGATTTTTTTCACATGTACTTGTCGTACGTTATCCAGTTTTTATCACCAGTTAGAAAAACGAATGAAAATCACAAATTTTCCTAATTTGAATTCGAAATCTTCTTTAAAATTTAAACTTTTTAATGATACCGTAACCAGCCACGTAGAAATGGTATAGCCCGAAAGATTTTATTACAAATTTATGCATACTATATGAAAAGACTTTTTCCCCTACCTAATAGTTATCATGAATAGAAATTATTTTATTGATATTATTTCCAGTTAGACGCAATCGTTAAACCATTTTAGTAAGGCCAGCTTCAGAGAATACACGTTCGCTAGGTGTGCTTGTAGCGGGTTAGCTAGAGTAGACAAATAAGGGTAAGTATTGAATTTATGATTTCTGCCAACTCCATCTTGTAAACGAGTGCTACATTAATTATACAAGATTTCATTGTTGACAGCTGTAATTAAAGAAGATAGATTCGATTGCTTATTTGTTTGCATCTGATCATTGACTTTACTTTTGTATTCATTAAAATTTAACTAAATATGGAAATATGGAACGGAATTAACACGTGCCGCAGAGAATGCACTACTTTGTTTAGCAACCGAGCGAGCGAATGTTACTCGCAGTTCGTGCCATCCCACGCCGTTTACGCCGATCTTTCGACCGGTCAGCGGCGGCGTGTCATGATCGGCGGCGTCGGTCATCGGCGCGGCGCGGCGCACACGTCTAGCAGCTACTAATTCGATTGGTTTCGCCTAATTAAAACACAGACTAAAAATTTGAATACTTTTAATTTAATTTTAAAATTTATTTCCTTATTTTATGAACTGAAAGTAACATTTTGCAACTGCTTATTGCTTAAGGTTTCTTCATAGTATATTTTTACTTTTTTTCTCATTAGTGTAAAATAACCTATTATTCATACTCACCTGTTCCGTACAAAAAACTTTTCTGAAGTTATAATAAAAAAGAGAATTGAGTTCCCATAGCAACGGATTATTGTTGTTATGATTATCGATTAAATAAATATCAAAGAATACTTATTTAATTGACAATAAATAATTAGTAATATTTAACAATTCATCTTAAATTCCACCCGCACATACCACTTTAAGAAAACTTACAACGCGAGTGCCTTCGTGCGTCGGTGCCAATGCGTCACCGGTTTTCTGCTAAATATGATTAATATTTTTATTATAAAAGACTTATTAATTCAAAATAATATTTAGATGTTGCCAGTCGACATACAATTATCCAAAAATTGAATTCTATTAATAAAGAGTTTTCAAAGTAAAAACATTTTTGTACCAACCCATTAATTTGCCATCCTGGATTATTAGATAATGGAGCATAATCTGATGTCCAAACGATCAAATGCTGTACATCTCTCCAAGTCAAATTCGGACTGAAAAAATAATAAATACATAAATTTTATTGCTTACATACACGATAGATGTGCACTGATAGCGATTCAACAGAATAATAAGAGCCATCCATAAATTACATCACACGAATTTCATATTTTTTTATTCCCTTCCCCCGTCCTGGTCACAGCTCCCCCTCCTTAGTGTGACGTCACATATTTTGCAAATAGACATTTAGAAATTATTGAATGAAAACAGCAGTTCCGAAATTAATTTTATTTCCATTAATATTATTTTTTAATCATATTAGCATTAAACAAACAATTTACAAGACAAAAAATATTAATAGAATTATATTTCAAGATACAAACAAAATAATCTTGAGGCCATAGACTTTGAACCTACTCCTTTAAATTGTTAATTACTGGCGCAGCTGCCACTTCGTTCTCGTTTGAGTTGTTAATATCAGGAACATCTATCAACATCTTTTTCATCCAACCATACAGAATCATTGTCATCATCCACACAAAGAAGTGTTCTGGCACGTCTAACAGCAATTCTTAGAGTACGAAACTTCGTGTTACCTCATATGTAATTGCTTGTGTTAATTGTATGATGCAAACTATAGACTACAGATGTTTAAAGTTCGTGTTACACTTAGATTATAATAGCTTTTAAAATGTAACGTCACGAAATTTAAGACCTCTCCAATCATCACCAATCATCACCAAAAAATCTCAATCGTCGATCTCATCCCTCCCCCTTAGCATGTAACGTAATTTATGGATGGCCCATCAGCATAAACTAGACTAAATTTTGATTTATTCCTGTAAAAAATTTAGATTTGAATTTAAATAAAAATTTGCAGGAGATTGCTGATTGGTCCATGAAAAACAAAAAAACCCGTCGAAATCCAAATTTAAGGTGGTGGTTCCAGAGCTCAGAAAAAATGAAATTGTTGCTTCGGATCTCATTGTGGCTGTCGGACACCAAACAATGCCAAGGATCGACGAGGTACGTAATCTGGGTATGATTTTCGATAGTATTTTGCGAAATCTAGTGGTTTTGCTGTGAGAGCTGTTTGGCCAGTATTTGCTTCTTATCATTACCGTACGATAGCATTTAGAGGTAGTTTTAAATTTCAATTTTCCAAGTGTTGGAATGATATACCATTACCTCTGAGAGGTCTCACCTCTGTATTGACATTTTAAATTAAAATTGAAGGCACATGATGGCATTACCAAAATTTTTTAACTTTGATTAAAATGTATTTAAAATAATTTTACTATCTTCTGACATCATTAATTGCAATCTGATATAAGATTGAAATTATTAATTATTAATGTTGATCAAAATTTGACATCATATTATTAGCATATTTATTTTAATTGACAGTGATGGTAAGCTAGTCCATATCCCTTTACTTTTGGACTAATTGTTATAATGTTAAGCTCCAAATTTCTAAGTTTCAATATTACTGGAAGACGCAGGCAGCTGTGCCTCAGCTTAACACCAGTACAGCTGCCAACATTAACCTTTAATTATGGTGTGCACATAAAATAAATCATTGTAACTAGGTAAATAATTTGTTAACTAAATTGCTCAATAAATTATTATTATTATTATTAATTATTATTATTTGAACCTATATTATTTATTGATTATTTATATACCGGGAGCCACAACATGACCGACACAGCCGAAAGTTTTAAGTTACATGCAAACGTTCATTTTATTTGACAAATATTTCAAAATAGAGAAGGTGTAAAAATTTATAGATAACTAGTGGACGCCCGCGACTTCGTCCGCGTGGAAGTCGGTATCCCGTGGGAGTGAGAAGTTTTCCCAGTAAAAAGTACCCTATGTGTTATTCTGATGTATAACCTATATTGCTGTAAAGTTTTATCCAAATCCGTCCAGTAGTTTTTTCGTGAAAGAGTAACAAACATCCATACATCCATACTTACAAACTTTCGCCTTTATAATATTAATAGGATAGAATAAACCTATGATATTATGCAGTCGCGACATTGATATTGATAGGTATAAATAGCAAATGAATTATAATTTGTCAGTTCAACTTGATGCGCGACTAACAAAAATTGCAATAAAACATATTTATTTCTACAGTGCTATTAATAAACAAGGTCAGAGTAAATTTACGCTTAAATTGCAATTTTAGTATTATTCCAAATTCATATTATACAGAGAGGAAGGAAACCTACAACTACCTTCTTGGAATAAATATTACTCCTGTAGAACCTCTTACTAGGTTAACCTTTGCTAACAGCCGGTTTCTGAATTGAGAAAAGCACAAAATCTCAACTGATCATTCTCGATAACTTAAGCTTTTTACGTTACATATGGCAAAAACTCCCAGTTTTATCAAATTGCTATCAAGTGATCATTAAAAAAATATAAATCAGTAATGAAAACCTGTTTAATTGACGTTTAAAATGGATTAAGCACGGTTTGAGACATGCTTAACTTCAAATTCTCAATATAGAGTATCTGTTAAATCATATGAATTATGTCAATATTAAGTGCAGTCTCAGAGTAATTTACAACAACGTGAAACCTTGTTTATTATTAACACTGCGATCAACTGACTGACTATCCGGTAACGAACGACACAGTCTAAAACTTGGCAATACCCAAGGGTATCGAGACAAACAGACCGTACCGATTCGAATACCAGGCAAACATAAACGTAGAGAACATTCATTAATTATATTCACTTTGCTTGTAAAGCGAGAGCGATGATTCCAGCGGCCAATGGCGCTGCGGCTGACGTCCCCGTGTGCGATAGTGTGCATGAATCGCCGGTGTCTGTAGTCGCCTGTGTGAACAACAATTGTAAGTAGTTCAATACAAACACCGAAATGATAATTAAGTAATGCGAGATCCTACTTAAGTGTCGTTTACTTGCCTTGTAGAAAAAGTTGGCACAATATATTTATTAATTTTACAAAGAGGTAAATTTTATTTGTATGTTTCAGAAACTTCTGGACTGATTTTAATTTATTTTTTTCACCATCGGGAGGAATTTACGCTGGCGAAGTCTCGAGCCAGGTTACAACCTAAATAAATGTGAGAAAAATGTCATAAATTTTTTTATATTACTCATTTTCATTTTCTGACGCATTTTCCTTTTTAAAATCATACATAGTAAGGTTAAATTGTTTCCTGTGCCTTTCTGTGTATAATAAGTTATTTTGGAATTTATTTGCATACGTGGCGCTGACCGCTAATGAGGAAGTATGTAAAAAAAACGAAACAATATAAAAGCACTTCCACTAGATGGCGACTCTAGCAAAAGTTGATTTTTGCAGGAAACGAATGGACCAAAGACAGTCATTTCTGTTCCTTTTAACAAGCATATTAAAAAAAAACTGAAATTTGAAAAGTTCGAAACTTAGTTATCAATACGAACACGAAAAAGTACAAATAGAATATAACTCATATTCTATTTTATTGAGTTTTAAAAACTAATTACCATTTAAACATGAAAGAAAACCGGAAGGGTTGTCATGGAGAAATCAAGAACGTGCCGTTGCGACATCTAGTTTGATTTCGGGAACTAATGCTTTTTTTATATACTTCCTCATTGAAAAACTAAAAACAAGGAAAGAAACAGAAAATAAGGTCATCAATGTGTATCAGTAGGGTCCGTAACACTGACTAGGCGTATGTCTTATTTCTAAACAAATCAAATAACAAACTTCCAACATAAAATCACTTACAATTTTTTGATCTTTATAAGCACCAGAGGAATATGCTGTAGCCAGGGTGGAGGAACATATCTCTCCGTACCAGGGAAACAGACCGTGCTGTGATGCACTCCCTATCGATATCGTGTAAATGCTCGATGAGTACCTGCAATAAAATAAAAAATCAAGATTTATTAAATTATTGTGTCCCTCACATGCATAAAAAATGGTAAACAAATTCTTGCGTGATTAAAAAATGATTGTGATAAGTGGGGGTGTGTGGCGGTCGACATTATTTGATGACAGATTTAGAAGGCGGGATCGTTGTTACGTCATATTTCGTCCACATTACTAGGTCTGCATAAACTAGTGAAGCTGCGGGTACGCCTTCTAAACCACTCCCTTCAATATCTTCTTTTATTAAAATAACAAGAGATCAAATTTTTCTTCCATAAACGAATTAATAGTATAATTGATTTTCCATTAGAATATGTGTTAATGGAACTAATAAACTTATACAGAGCTTATTTTATTCAATGTTCAGGCAAGAAAAAATTTATTCAATATTTTATTATAAAATAACAAATATAATATATAAAGATAGATTTAATTTTTAAAAGGTTTATAAACATTTTTTAATATAATTCTCATACCCATCACAATTGCAGTTGTCTTTATTCCCACCACCGTTTCCGTTTGCCCATACGTAAATAGTTCCTTTGCCACCACGACCCTAAAAAAACAAACTCAAAATAAGAAACAGTACATACTTTTTATCTAAAAGTAAATTAAAGATTAAGTTGAACAAAATCTACCTTTGTAACACCTCTTTCGAAGGCGTGATTGGCTAGACGACCCGGGCCTTCTACCGTTTTGCCGTCGTCATTAGGACCCCATGAAGCGCTATAGATATCCACCTTGTCCCAAGCAAAACCTTAACAATAATAAATAATTCCTTGATAATTTTAGGAAATAATGTGATCAGTAGTTTGTATGAGTGACAATACGCCATTAATTACCTACTGAATTTGTGAATGATAAAATCTAAATATCGTGGCAATATTTGGTTTTTGTTTTTCTTCTTTTTTACTGGCGTAGATTTTGGTGGCGAGGTTAAACATCGCTTTTTTAAACGGCACAAAGTAAAAAAGGCACGACGTTATCATCCCTTTCTCGAAACCATTCGGACCGTTTTATACTCCCTTTTGTAACTTCATTGTGGAGTAAACTATAAGCCTAAATTTTCAATTCCTAATAAGAGGTCAGTGCTTCATAAAGAGGCACGTTTCCAAATTACATTAAAGAACGAGTACTTCAAGAAAAAAAGGATATTTAACTTGCAATAATTTTTAAAGTACTTCTGTACTTTCGTACATACAAAGTAAGAAAAAAATCTAACATCATAAAATAAAATGCGGGCAAAAGCTAGTGCCCGCAACTTCGTTTTCGTGGTATTAGTATTTACAGTAGTTTATTATAAGTCCCCAAAATAATGCCTTTAAAACTTTGACGAAATTTTATCAGTAGTTTTTATTTTAATATTTTAAAAAACTAGGAGAACTACTACATTGCTTGAATTATCTTGCTATGGTGGTCGTCACATAGGAACTCTAAAATATCACAATCAAAGTTTTGGTTGTCGTTAGCATATATCTCTAATTCAAAGTCGGTTTTAGAAGTCTTTTTGTTGTATGAAGTGTCCGTATATACTTCCTTGTCTGTTTTCTATGGTTTTCAGCAAGCCTACCGCGTGACGAAATTTTAATGTCAACGAATGTAGTTATACGGCAGGCCTTGCAGCCGTCTTTTACGTTAATGATTCTCAGCACTTATTCAATCGATTATAGTTCCATGCAGCTAATATTTTTCATCCTTCTCCAGCACTACATAAGCCCTACACTACTCCTGATAATTTTCTTGGGTATGTAGACTGCCAATATCGCCCTGAATAAGTGTTTCTTATCACTAAATGCTCTCTTAACTGTCGTTGCTTTCACTATTTTTATTAGTAAAACAATATCATTGCTAAAGTTTTTATAAATTTATACGTTATAGCATAAATCAAAAAACTGCTGTTATATAGTAATAGACACATGCTCACAAAATAGTGTTTAGTAAATCGGCAATATAAGTTATTTTCTCTTCTCAAAAACATCGTAGTAAAATCTTAACTATTCATCCAATTTATTTGGTGTAAAAGACAATTTTTATATACATTAAATTTCATCGAAGTTAATAAGCACATTTATTTTGATAAGGATTAATTTTTACCTAATCAAATAATCGTATAAAGACGGGAAAAAATTAAATACACTTATACGAAGTTTTTTTGATAAGGATTAATTTTTACCTAATCAGATAATCGTATAAAGACGGGAAAAAATTAAATACACTTATACGAAGTTTTTTTTATAAATAAAACAACTTTTAAACGGTTTTATCTTTTAATTCGTTTGTATTTAGTTTTATTGACGTATCGGGCCTTTTACAGGTTCCGTGTTCACATATGACTAAGGTGTTGGTTGTTTTTTTAATGAGGAAGTATTTACCAATATAAAGAAACTACAAAAATTATGTCTTTAGATGGAAGCAAAAATTACAGGATTTAAATGTCAATTCATGACGTTAGACAGTGTTGTTATGGATTTGATAACGCAGATTAATATAGAGTTGAAATTAAATTAGTTCAAGTTATGCAAAAGCAACTCTATTAATTCGAACGAATCTTTTAATAAATTTGTTTTTAAAGGATTTATTTTTTAAAGAAAAATGGAAACTAATTTAACGGAAGTGAGAATAGAGAAGGATTTTAAAAAGTTATGAAAATCAATAGAAATCATGCTGTAAAAGTAGCATTTAGATACGGTGTGCAATAATATTACCGTGAAATAGTTTTTATAACTAAAATACTTATGCCATAGCAGATCGAGGCATTTATGATTATAATATCTAACAAAAGTTCTGAAAACAATAACAAGTAAGTTAGTTTTGTTGCTCTTGATTGTTAGTTGAACTTACAGCAACAAAACTACCTACATCAAGTCTCAATGAATTAATGAATAAATAGGGTTTAATAATCAGTAACAAAGGTCATAAAAAAGAATTATAATAAAAAATACGTTTATTATCCATAAAAATATAGTTCACTCGATACATATCGAGTGATATGTTTCGAATATACTCTAGCCAGAAGTCATGTCATTTTGAAGGTACTCGTACAAAATAACATGACTTCTGGCTAGAACGTTTGTGCAAAGTACAAAGTGCAAATAAGTCCTTTCGAAATTAAGATATTTTTTAACTGACAGCACTTATTAAATCATATATCATAATTAAATTATCTGAATAAAAATACAACAATCAATAAGAAACGAACAGCAAGTATTGTTGTGATTTTGCTGGAGAATCAAAAGAATCCATAAAAACCTTATAATCCACAAAAATATATTGTACCATAAAAACCGTTGAGAAAACCCAAAAACAATGCAATACAAAAGTCTATCAACTACTTGACATAGAACATCGCACCTTAAAGTAAAGACAGTTCAGAAATCTAGTTCCAGCTTTGAGAAGAACTCTCAAAACAAACTTCGACAAGAAAAAATAAAAAGTAGGATAAGTTTTTGCTTCACAATGACTCGACACAAAAATCGTAAGAAAATAAGGCATTAGAATCGCCCTATAAGGAAACGCATAATTTTGGCCTAAGTTGGGACGAAAACGTCCACCATGATCTTCACAGATACCAAGGCCACATAATACATACAGAGCTTTCAATACATTCTACTTCAAAAAGTGCACCACACTACGGGCAAAGCAAAATGGATTTGTATAACTTGGTACCACGTGCCAGCATATTATGAATATAATAGAAAACAAATATTTATCCAAACAAATCTATTTCGTTTTCTCATGTGTATCTAGAAGCTATAATCATGATATGGATTTCTTTTAAATATACTCTTAATGAAACAATTTATGATTATTGATTGCTCGAAAATACCATTCTTCTGCAGCATATCGATTATACGGTAGCTTTCTGCACTAGATTGTAAATAATTTAGTTAAAGAATAACAATGAAAGTATCTGCATGAACATTTTGCTGTAGCGAAATGTCGTGATACCCCTATCACGGCTGGTATAGTTCAATTAATGATACAATAGGCAAAAAAATTGGTTCAACACAAACAGAGAACTAACAGGAACATTAAAAAAATATTAGTTCCCGATATCAAACTAGATGTCGCGACGGTACTTTCTTGATTTCTCCATGACAACCTTTCCGGTTTTCTTCCATATGTAAAGGCAAATTAATTTTCAAAACGCAATAAACAACTCATATTCCATTTTTACTTTTTCGTATTTGTATTGTTATCAAAGTTTCGAACTTTGCAAATTTCAGTTTTTAAATATGTTAGTTAAAAGGAACAGAAATGATTATCTTTGCTCCATTTGTTTCCTGCAAAAATCAACTTTTGGTAGAGTCGCCATCTAGTGAGGTGCTTTATTAGTGCTTTCTTTTTTTTTCTTAAAATACTTCCTCATAAGATAAGCATGTGATAGATAAGGCAGCAACCACTACATAAAGAAAGAAGGTGACATAGCGAACAGGCTAATCAAAGAGACAAAATAAATACTCTGCGGACAGAAATATTTTTTATTATGTGAAGATGTGTGATGTACTTACAAGAACAAAGTCCAATTACTTATTTATTTTCTTGTTCTTTCTGCAAAATCAATTTATTGAAAGTTGAGTTTTGACATGCGCTCACGTAAAGTGACTCTCAAGTGTTTGCAAAAATTTTAATATTATTCCTGTTAATAACACAGTTACAAAAGTTTCTGATGTTTATTTATTTACAGCCAATTATTTCTTCTAGTCATTGAAACAATTGATTAATTATATTTTTTTAATCGTCTCCATCAGGTTTATTTTTATAGATAAAAAAAATGTATCTGGAATTGGATCATACTTGAAATTTATTATTTAAAGACAATAATCTACAGAAGTCTTTTGTTTAAGTTTAGTGAAAAACTTTTGAGATGTGCCACTTTACCACTAAAATCTCAACGGTGTTCCTCAAATACACCAGGACCGCATAATATACAGAGAGCTAGCTATAAAAGTCTAATCTTACTATTCTAATGAGATTTTATACCAATAAAATTAAAATTGTGTTTGCGTGTTACAGTCGCTTTGCTGTTACGTCATATTTCATCCAAATTACTAGGTTATCATAAGTTAGTAGAGTTCAAATGGGCTACAGTAAGGAAAAGTGTGTTGTTTGTATCAACAACAAATATGACGTACTCACTTGTTATAGTCGGGTCACACACACTAAAGGAATCTGCTGACATATAACATCGTTGCACACGGTCCCATTGTTGGAGTGACCGAAATATTACCAAAACTGCTGATGCAGCGGCACGTGGAGCAACAACGGACATGGAGGCAATCCGAGTAATAGAGTTCACTTTTAGATCAACCATCGATCGGGTCACATAGTTAGGTTAGTTATTAAGAAATATAATGTAATTTTATTTCATTAAATTAGTATTAAGTAAATTTTGGTTTTCTTTGAAATCTCCGGCAGCAGCTTCTATAATTCACTCATTTGACGTATTACTAAAACATATCACTTGTACACAACAAAGTCACAAAAACACTGAAAAAGAAAACATGGATATTAGGTATTTTAAGAAAAACAAATTATATCTAACGTTTTCATAGCACACATAACATAAACTCAACCTGACCCAGCGAGCGCAGACCGCGAGATAGCGCTTCACATGAAGCTCAACATGGCGATCAAAAGTACCAGGAGTTCATAAAACGAAAATGGCGATACCTATAGCTTCTCCTTCCACTCTGTCAGTGATACGGCCGTCGAGCATCCGCACACCGCCTATTCGCGCCCCCCAAGCCACGCCCACACCACATTTATGATTATTTGCGGTCATTGCTATCTGCAATATAAAAATAAAATTGATTATTATATTCTTAATGCGCTCCCATAAAAATATAATCAAAATCTTACTTCTCCTGCACATCGAGTACCATGGGAGTTCTTACTTAGATTTTCGTATCTAGGTTGAGGATTTGGGTCATTGTCATTGCAGTCCCAACTTATTTCTGGATCCTGTTAAATCAGTTATAATATTACACAATTTTATTAATTTTTATTTTAAATTATATTAAGAAATTTAAAAAAAAAACGTGCTTTTATAAAAAAGAAAAGTTTTGAGTAGATAGTTTTATAGACGTCACAAAATAAGAGATATCTTTTTACACTTGGAAAAGACGATAGAACGAAATCAACGTAATAGAAAAGAAATTATTATAAAGTAATTATTAGGTAAAAAGCATTGCTTAATAGCATGAACATTAGGTAGGTCAACGTCATTTATGACAATCGTGTTGAAGTTATCATCTATAATCCATTATCTTTTGTTGATATACCAGAATAAAGAAATAAAAATAAAATAATAAAACAAAAAAACTGAAAAGGAATTCCTAATCAAGTGTGATTGTGAAAAAATATTTTCACAATACCTATAGGTAGTTTAGAAAACTTTTGACCAACAATTTTTAAATACATAATCATTATTAATATTTTGTTTGGAATAAAAATCTGTATGTAGTGAAAACAACACTTTTCTTTTCTCCTACAAGCTTAATGTGACCTTTTCCCAGTTCTTCGGAAGACGGAGCGGAGAACACGTTCTAAGAATTCGTTGAACTCGCGAGGCACGTCGTATGGGCCGCGAAGGTACCAGGGGTTCATGGACAACAAAGAAACTGATGTTACTTTGTTAGTAGTAACTACATTAATACACACGAGTATGATGACTCGTTATGGTACTTCATTAGTGTCATGATGTCTTAGTAATTTGGCGAGAGATAGTTGAAAATTTCGTAGTAAAAAAGACTGTTTACAACAATATAACCAAGCAGCGATCGACTGTGGTTTTTTCTCCAATGAAATCCCTCCAATCCTCGGTTTCAATCATTCCAATGATGATATTTTTATATGTTAAAGGATCTCTCAGTATGTAATTAGGCGACAAATATTGTTCTTAACTTTTTTTATGCGCATATACGTTTTTGAGATAAGGAAGAAGGACAGCTAGAGCCCAAAATATTTATAAAATACTCCTTTATCAATATAGGATATATAGCATTGAAATCATATCGATGAAAATACCTCAAGTTATATAAATAATAAAACATAATTAACTACTACGGTTTCACTATTATTTAAACTAAAGCATATGAAACATTCATTAACAAAACATGTACCTATTATTATTATTATACTAGATTTCACGGTGGCTTATAATATTGACTTGATTACGTAATAGTAAATAACCCTAGGGAACGATTTAGTGTGTTAAGTAAGAATAAGAAGTAGCTTATGCATATGTAAATTTAAACCTGAAAACGCCTTTATAATATAAAACTTTGTATTGTTTGACAAATTTGACAGAAACGATGACAGATCTCTTTCTCCATCATTCGTGCCGCGTATGGCCGCTTTTACTACAAAAATTTGAACCATGTTCGTCAAATTACCAGGCTCTCATATGTTCGAAAGAGTTTTCTGTTATACTACTGTTATTCGATCATCATCATTCGTCATGTCTTTGATTGCATTATAGGTATTGTGAAAAGTATTAAATGGTTGTTAATAAAGGGTTTTTATTTAATTATCAATATTTTTATATAAGCATGAAATCTAATTAAAATAGGTATTGTAACTGTATCTATAATTGCTATATAAAATTTATAGTATCCCATTTGAATAAGTTTTTAACCTTACTTTGAATTTAATTTTATTTAAATGCTTTTCATAAGTCCATATTTTATTTTACAAGGATTGTAAGTCATCATCATCATCACCAGCCCTTTTACGTCCCCACTGTAGGGGCTCAGGCCTTCCTTACGGATGGTAAGTATTTTAAAGAAATGTAATGGGTTGTTAATAAAGGATTTTTTATTTAATTACCCATATTTTTATATAATAAGCAAGAATAAAGTATTAATGAAACAAAAAAAAGAAATCTAATTAAAACACGTATTGAAATTATTTCCGTATGAAATTGATAGTATACCATTTGAATTAATTTTAACCTTACTTTAAATTTCATTTTATTTATATGTAGATTAGTGGCCAAAGGGCTGTAAAACATCAATTGCAGTCCGAGATATTTAAGCGCACGAGCGCAGCAAGGGCGCCTATAGTTCGAGGGTGCAATTGATGCTTGCACCCGAGCTAACTACTTTGCTTTACATCTCGATTGTGAGATAACTAGAAAAAATATCTCTCTTTAGAAGTTTCAGGCAGAATATTGTTAATTACTACTGCTTCAGCTTCCATTTTCATTCAATCGGGAGCGCGGCTTATATCATCACTTAAAGAACTCATGTTTTTCCTAATTAGCACGTGATTATAAAATATCCCAAAAACAAACAATATTTAAAGTAAAAGTTTTCTATTCTCACTTTTTTCATTATAAGGAACCAAGTAATTAACATTTTAATTTTTTTTCAATAACGAAATTGAGCTTCGCCGTTCGATATTTAAAAAAATTGATGAGTTTTATACCCGTATGGAGACAAGGCTGAATAGCGAAGAGGTCATTCATTGGGCTGAATGCATGATGTCTATTATCAGTATGATGGTAAGATGCACGCGAACTTTTTGAAAGAGCAGCTTTTTTTAAAAATATTTACAGCCCTAGTTAATAAGTCCACAAGGCCCTACCACTGTTGTTAGTTTAATGTTTATAGTTTTTTGTGCTCTAACTAAATGCAAAATTAAAATGGTCAGTAAAAAATAACCCACAACATACATGTTTTTGATAAATTAACAAAAATAATTTCAATAAAAAAAGTCATATTCTTTATTAAAGTTAATCAAGCTAAGTAACTTCGGCAATTTAAAAATTCTTATACAGTTTGCTATTGCGAGTTTTTTTATTGATGATTGATTAAATGCTTATTTGCGCATTTCGCACAATCTGCCAATATAAATCAATTTCTACAAAAAATTTAATTCACTTGACATTGGCAGAATATTATATATATTCATTATCTATGAAATTGGAACTTTTTGATCGCGGTATGCGCTTGGCAGCTAGAACTGGAAGTTTAAGACTCAAGAGTACTAGGATAACATAAAATGAATGTTCTTAGTTTCCGATTTACTGAATAAAAGTAGAATTTTATTAATTACTAAAGATTTACTTTTGATAATAAAGGTAATTTAAACATACAAAGCGTACGTATAAACAAGAAGAATATAAATCAGTTTTTTTATATATTTTTTTAATAGTTTTATATATATTTTTTAATATCCATAGACAGGCAAACTGCGAACGACGACATTTGGCGCTGTCCACGGAAATTTCAACCATCATCCACGAAACTGCCAAGGATTCATAACTTTTAGAGAAGTGCGTTGAAAGCCTGACCACTCGAAACGCCCTTTTTGCTTAGGAAATATCGAATAACTGTCCCCTGAGTACCAGGGAAACATAGCACTTACGTAGTTAGAGCGTAGATCAGTGTGATTGTGTTCGATGCCATCATCTAACACAGAGATGCGGATCCCGCTGCCATTGTAACCCATATTGTACACGGGCAGCACGTTCAAATCAAGACGAGGTAGATTGCGCATGGTGCGCGTGTCTTGCTAAAAAGTAATAGAAAAATAGAAAATATTGAAAAAGAATAATTTAAATAGAAAAAAACTTATTATCCAATTTCACCTGATAATAAAAATAAGCAATGATCTTTTTTGCGAAATGTAAGTTTAGGTCCGTGTGTAGTAAATAATTGAATAAGTTAAGCCTATATAAACCTATGTACAACTAGTTGCAACATTTTCGTTAAAAGGTTGTTTATTTCTAAAAAGAGATTAATATTATAATCGCAAATGTTTGTTCATTTCTATTTAATTGTGGCCTTAAATGTAAATATTTTGTAAAAACGAACCTTGCGATAAAATAATAAAGGCTGAGGGAAAAAAAATTTAGCATTACGTAAATAGTTGTATCACAGATATTCTATACTAATGTTGTATCAATAACAAAACAAATAAGGTACAATTTTATTAAATAATAAACATAATAGCGCCATCTACAAGCCATCACACATGATACGAATCGAATCTGGTTAGTTCAAAATTTAAGTTGTAAACAGATGTCGCTTAAAGCTCACAATCTCTTGCAATTTATAGTTTACTAGCTTTCCGCCAGCGGCTTCGCCAGCGTGGTTTTGTTCTTGTATTATACATAAAAAAATTGCTGTAGTAAAAATCGCATCAACTTCATTTGCGTAGTTTTAAAAATCTAAGCATGCTTAAGGACAGACTACGGAAAGCGACTTTGTTTTATACTTTGTATCGATAAAAAAGCTTTTTTCTATAGAACGACGTATCAGTACCAGATACCACTCGTGTCCCCATAGCTCATCATTGAATAATGGTTTCCTGTATGCTTCTGGACTCCTAGTTCGTCTCACATTATCACTGGAAAGATCCACTCTCTTCACTCGATTGACGGGTTCATCCGGCCCGGGAGTCGAGTACCTTTTCACCCTTGACTTTAGGAATAACTGTTCTGCCCATTTTACCTGTTGATAGAAAAAGGATTATTTTTTTCTAATTAAAATCATACGTTACTTACTTTTTAGCCTTATATAAATCTGCCTGTAACTTTACAATTCTGTTTTCCTTCGACTGTATGTATGTAACTTACCGTAAGTGAAATAATTTTGATCAATATTTCAACAAACGATTAAAGTTAGAAACTTAACCTCTTTTAAAATGTATAGAAAATAAAAGGCATCCCCTGTATAGCATTTGTAACATATATTATACTAAAATTAACACACATAAATTGCACGATGTCTTCTTTCCCTGGTGGAAATCAATTTAGAAATCCATATCTTCTCTACTAATGTTTTAAAAAGGAAAGATTTTTATTTTTACTTTCCGTATATCTCAACAATAACATATAATTTTACCTTTTCCAACATACTTAAAGTTCAATATTTTGGGACCATTCATTATATTTTAATAATTAATAAATATTTTATCACTTGCATTTTGTGTTACCTATTCCTTCTAATTTTAAATGACGTCACACGGATGTTTTTAGATAAGTGCATTAGTAATTTCCAGAACTTATACAATAGCACAAAAAATACAGTCACTAACATAATTCTTTGCTCTTTGGTAAAAACAAAACATAATAATAAACATATTTATTAGACCACAACGAAACAAAATACCGCACGTTGAGAATGACAATGTCACTAACAAAAAACGACGTATTTTTTACTTTTGACAACATTTTTCTTTGTTAAGTATAAACTTTAAAATGCAAAGATCCCTGTAAACGTAGCTTGCATAGAAACTGCTAGGTGGCGTAGTGACGATACGTTGTTTAGAGGAGCCGCTTACAATTTCTTGAACTTTAAACGCTCATTACTCAAAATCGCATTTTTTGCATTGTGTCACTATCGTTCTCAACGTGCGATACATGTTTTTCTTACATCTAAGCTTATCATATTGAGTACGAGCAAAGTGTATGGAAGGGATATAGTAAGCGATGGCAGCGCACGGTGAGGCAGAATTGTGTAACAAAAGGGGTTAGTGAAACTTGTCAAACGCTGTTTTGAAGATGGGTCATTATTCTTGTTGTGTTATAAACTGCAAAAATACCAGTGGAAATCATCATCATCATCACCAGCCCTTTTTACGTCCCCACTGCAGGGGCTCAGGCCTTCCTTATGGATGGTTAAGGAGGATGGGCCATGACCCTCCACGCTGGCCCAATGCGGATTGGAGGGTATTAACGACTGCAAATGCAGCCGGGACCAACGGCTTAACGTGCCTTCCGAAGCACGGAGTAGCTCGAGATAATAAATTCTATATTTTTCCAAAAGCAGCCCGGAAAATAGATCAAAGAATTAGATGGATAGCTGCGGTTAAAAGGAAAAAGTAAGTCTACAATATTAATTTAAATAATGTTATAGGATATTTACTAATTATGGTATTATTGTTTGTTGTATAGTGATGATGGATCGCCATGGCATCCAAAACCCGACGACAAAATATGCAGTGAACATTTCATAGGAGGCAAAAATCAGATGCGCAAGCAAGTCCAAGTTATGTGCCCATGATACTACCCAAAGTATACCGAAAGAAGAAGGTTAACGAGTCACATGAACAAGCTAGACATACACGCTTGATTAAATGAAGAACCACAAAAGCTGCAGCAGATATCTTGGAAGTATCGGATACCATAAAAAATGAAATGATAATGGAAATCGAAAATCAAACTCAACATCGTCTCGCGAATAAAGGATGTCAAGTTAATATCTTTTCTGAAATCAATTTAAAGGAAACAACCTTTATTTGCAATATTTTTATTTACATTGATCACTGTGATGCAGAAATTCAAGTAGATATTGCAACAACTACAAAAATTGTAATAACAACTAGTCCCAGAAAAAAATATAAAAGCTGTTGCACCAACAAAAAATCATTTCAAGACCAGTCTACTAAAACTACAAGCCGCGAATTTGCTGGTATTTCATCAATAAAAAATGATTATGAACTGCTAGATCTTGCTGGCCTGTCATTCAATAATTTTGATTTTTTTAATAACCAAATTATTAACTGAAAGAAAATATTTGAGGTTGGAAACTTATTTCATGTTTTACGCCTCAAAACCAGTTTTTATAATCACATCCATGTTCCCTTTAATTGTTTTAACAAATATCTATATAAAACATTAATTATTGTCTTTCTATATATTGACTTTATTTATTTTATGACAAAAACATTATGCACTTCTCATTTACTGTTTGACATACTCCCATTTTGTTGCGTAATGGTGGCAAATGTTTTCTAGAATTATAGTATTATATAAATGATAAATAATAGAGAGCAAAGATCACAACACTATATTTACACACTATTCTTATTAGAAAATAGTGAGTTACATTGTAAACTATAACTTAATTCGTTAATTGACAATTATACAATGTTACTGGACTATGTGTTTAATAACCTAATAAATATTAAAAAGATTTTCAATGAGTAATTGTACATTATAACTTTTAGTCAAATAAGATTACAAATACAATTTTAAATAACAACGAGATCGAATACAATTTGCCAAACGGAGAACAGAACTATACATTCAATACAAATAAGAACCCAACAATACGTAAGGACACAGTGGCGTAGCTAGGTAACCTAGGGCCCTGGGGCAAATAAAAAATGGGGCCCACTGCTATCAAAACTGGTAACGTTTTTTGAAGTAAAATCATTAAATATACAAATACTTTAAAAATGCTAAGCAACTTTATCATCAGCTATTTTTCGTGCATGGGCAGGTAATAAAACTATTTAACACTAACAACATAAATAACAATTATTTTTAACGAAATAGAAAAGATTTAAGGGTTTATTATATATTTATTTGTTCATAGATACGTTGCACCAGCTTACTGTTATTTAACCTATCGCCATGTAAGCTATTTACAAAAATTATCGATAGAAATATTTTGTCCAGAAGTACTTGCAGAAGGCTGACTAAAAACTTGTCAATTTTGGGCAGTTTATGTTTTCTTTCTTCTATTTCTTGGCGTTGTTTGCGTTTAAATGCACCACAGGGTTTCTTTTTTTTGTCCATAATATTAGTTTTCTAATTTATTTATGCAATATTTATGTAAGATTGTACTCAAGAAGGTACTCACTGGAAAGCGAAACTTAATGATACGATACAAGACGTCGTTGGGGAATCCCCTGCAAACATTTTAGCGCCGCCAGTGTTACCACATTTGCCAGTGTTGCCAAAAAACGACAAAAACACCACGTAATTAATGGACGGCCCCCTACCACATGTGACTTGTATTGTTCACGGTATTTTGAGTTATATAGTGAGTAGCCGAAATCTATAGATTTCTTTACGTAACTATGTATACGTACTATAATAAAATAAAATTGAACTTTTGTATGGACCAGTACAAAAAAATTATTGACATACGCTTACTTACTCCATTAACTTTTTAACCATTCTCGAAAAAAATCTTGACTCGAAGTTCACAATCGCGAATCACAAAAACGCATATTGATAAATAATAATATGCAGGTATTGATATCCGACAAATCGATGAAAACATTAATAACACTGTCAACCCACACAAATAATTTAGGGGAATTCCTTTTTTATTACTTTAGAATTTCTCACAACTGAGTTTCTTTTCTTTCTCACACCATGATTAAATCCGAGTTGTCATCTGTCATATTTATTTTGAAAATGGGAGAAATTTTCTAAAGTTGAGTGCGATTGAGATATTCTGGTAAAGATTCGAGGGCCCCCTCAGCTTGAGGGCCCTGGGGCACTGCCCCGCCTAGCCCCTTAGTAGCTACGCCACTGTAAGGACAATACAATTTACGAATTGGACACTTGAACAAGAGACAGAAATCTAAGGTACGAATATACACCAATTAATTTTAATGCACTAGTGTCATGCATGAACTTGTGATACCTGTGCTTTTCATGAAAACTTAACTATTTTAATCAGTTTTAAAATAAAATGTAGTAAGAACTTTAAGCTTTATTATACTAGATGGTATTTAAATTAAACTGCGTTATCGGTTTATTCAAAGAATTTTAATTTTTGTTTAAGTTTTGTGTTAACTTTAGATTTATGTTTTTCTTTCCATCTATATTTCAAATTGTATAAATAACTTGAAAGTTTTCAGAGATAAAGAACTAACACCCATTTTCACTGACCTATAACAAGTCATAGCTTAACTAGGAAACGCCTAATATTACGAAAAGCCTAAGCAGATTAGTTTAATACCATTTTTTTTTCTTTTATTCCTTGGCATATTTATGACCTGTCATATACGGAAATTTTTACCTTAAGCGATTCCTAAATATTTAGGCGACAGATTTAGGCGATTTCCAAGTTTTGCGAAAACGAGCATAAAACATATTGGATATTAGTCGGTAAACTACAGGTGGCTGTGGCTGTACTTTAAATAAATGAACTAAAAAAGTCACTAAACAATTCACTTTAAAAAATTCACTTTAACCATTTCAAACGTCACTTAAACAGTTTTTTCGTTTTTGATTTAGGTTTTTTCAATAATCAGTTGATAGCAGTTATATTAGACTAGGTCTTTTTGTCTTGTAAAACCTAAAAAACTTAAGTTATTGAGAATAATTAGTTTAGATTTTATACTTTACTCAATTTCAGAAAAAGGTCACTAGTCTATTTATTTCGGCGGCCTAACCTCTTATTATATGATGTAATGTGCGACAAGGAGAAACGTTTAATTAAAATAAAATAAAAAGAAACGAAATAAAACATCACTGTTTTTCTAAGTATTGGAATGGAACTGGATTTCACCACACAAGGTATCTTAGCGTGGAATCCAGGGTACCCAAATATTATATTCCAAACTTTTTACAGTACTATTATATATATACCTATAATGTTCAAATTGTGATAGAGTGAAAATTATATAGTTTTAGATTTATTTCTGCTTAAGTTTGTAAATCTAAATTTTTATAAAGAAAAGTAAATTATTATTATTGTATTAATTTTTTTCCATATCTACTAATATTATACAAGCGAAAGTAGGTCTGAGTATCTGAGTATGCGATCTCACGCCTAACCCATTAAACAAAGATGACTTAAGATAGGACATAATTAAGTTGCTCTTTATTTATTTTCATAAAAGGGTTGAAATAGGAAATTAAAGTTTGTATAAGTTCGTCATTGTTAAAGATAAAATGATGAAACTATACA